ATTTCCCCATCATGAAAAGAGGGCGTGGGACCACTGATGCATCTGACTGACACACAGACAGATCGCTGCCCCTGCAATGCCAGCTAATGGATGAAGTATTATTACTTAGATTCAGGCTGCCCGGGGTGGAATTACTCCGACTAGATGCTGTACTGTGTTGGAAGAAGGAGACTGTGCTTTGCTATTTATTTCTTTCCCTTACAACGTATTGTGTCTCCCACAATGTTGTTCAGGAAAGTTGGGCAACGTGTCAAAACAATATGAGACCAGGCGCTGATGGCAGTGGGAAGCGTAATCAGCAGAATCATCTCCCTTCTGAGACAGGGAAGAAGTCCAAATGCATCTAGAGGTTTACAATTGCCCACCTTTGTGCTAGTGGACATATTCACTGGATTTTGGCACCCTATGTGAAGAGACAGACCGGGCTCTTCTGTTAGTAGAAAATTAACTCAACAAATGCTTTGTCTTAGAGAGAGGACTTATGTAGAAGGACTATTTACCTTGAGAGCGGCTAACAGGTGAGAGAGGTGGGCTGCATGGTATGGCACCCACAGCCCCCATTGTCTCCAGGATCCCGCTCTGCAGACCACAGAGGACCAACACCACCACAATGCAGACAAATTTGGAGCGCAGGCTGTAGCCACTGAGAGCTGGCTTCGTGGCCTTGTAGAAGAGCAGATAGCCATAGAAGGAGAGGAAGGTGGAGATGCCAATGATGACATTGATATAGGAGTTGGGGTTGGTGTAGCCCACCTGAATGAAAAGAAGTAATCAGATGCAAGCAGCTCTGTCTGAGCTCTTAGCAATTCCATATCTTGCGTCTAGTAATGCCGTATCTTCCTTTCATCCAGTAGTTTCCAACCTTGGGTCCCCAGATGTTCTTGGACTACAACTCCCAGAAATCCTAGCCAGCATAGCTGGTGATGAAGGCTTCTGGGGTTTTTAGTCCATGAACATCTAGAGAGCCAAGGTTGGGAACCACTGCTTTAATCATTTGACCAGCACCTGAAACTCTTCCATGTTTAAAAAAGGAGAGATTGAATACCAATCAAGTAATTTTTCCCCTTTAAATCCCTCCTTGAAAAACTCTATAAAGCAGCAGTTCCGTGCTCCCTGGGAGGATGCCCTCAATCCATTCAGTGGAGTTGAACTGCCTGCAGTAAAGGAAGTCTGCAAATGGGAAGGGAAATCTATCCTCACAAGTTATCTCCTGGGGAGAAGCTCCAGGACCTTTTTGCTCTGCTGTTCATAATCTGGTTGTAGTTGGGGCAAAATTGCAGCATCCTGGAGGTGTGACCAGGAAGGCTTTCTGGAATGTCTACAGCCAGAGCCCTTCCTTTCCCCAAAACACTTCCTGCACAGAGGTGAAAGGGTACTTCAAGCCACGGAACTGGTGTTTTGCATTTCCCGACCCAGGCACATTCTGAATGGCTGGTGCAAGCTCAGTGGGGCTTTGGAGATGGCAGTTCTTCAGGCATGATCCCTGATCTGTCTGATCTGTCTGGTCTGAAAGAGGAGGAAGAAACCCCCCCCCCATACAGCCCAGAATGAACTGAGCATGCTCAGTCGCCAGTAAATGCAGATTGACCTTTGAGGAAGAAGAGAAAAGCATATTGGGAGGGGAGGTGGAATGAAATTGACTTTCCTGTGAGTAGTGCAGCATTGGCTGAAATCCTGTAGCTTAGCACAGTAAGTCTCAATTAGAGTAGTCCCATTGAATTAGTGAAACATGTGGAGGAATTGGCTCACCAAATCCAACCTGCATCAGTAGTGGTACCGGATTTTCTTTCTATGCTTAATCAGTAACCTAAGGATCCAGAACACGGCCAAACAGCCTGAAAAACCCACAACAACAACCTAAGAATTCCTTAATCCTTTGCCATAGGCTGTGATTTTCAGAGCGAGAATCACTTACATCACCATAGTCGTATTTCTCGTCAGTCCAAAGGATTAGGGTAACAAAAAAGAGGATGGTCCGGATGAGAGAAAGTTGGTATACAGCCAGTGTCATACACCGCAAGTTTGTTCTACAGAAAGGAACAAGTAGGTGAAAGAGATCATTTGTTATGGTGGTGGGAAGCAGTACCTAAACTTAGATCTTTGGATGATGTTGGACTCAACTCCCAAAATCGCTGACCTTTAGCCATGTTGGCCAGAGAGGATCTGGGAGCTGAAGTCCAGCACCATCTGGGCACATGAGGCTGGGAACTACAGGTATAGAAAGAAGTGAAAAGTAAGGATGGATTAACAGTTATCTTAACCTGTGCTGTAGGGTAGATCCTAAGAAAAATGAATGAAGAACATTGGTGTTAATGCTGTTATAGCTGGCTGGATAGCTCAGTGAGTTAGGTGGCTACAGAAGTAGGGAATTGGGTTCCCCACTCTCCTCCTGCAATTAGAGCCAGCCTATGTGGCCTTGGACAAGCTGCATAGTCCCAGGATGCCCCCAGAAGAAGGGAATAGTAACACACTTCTGAGTACTCTTTACCTAGAAAACCCCATAAAAGGTTTGCCATAAGTCATAATTGACTTGATAGAACACAATTTAAAAAAAAACACAGTATTATATGTCATTGAACATCAGCCATGTGACAGAGCACCAGTATTCAGTGGACAGCTTGCAACCTAAGATAGATTATGCCAATAATGCCACGACCATATTTTTTGTGGAGCTACGAGTAGTAAAAAATAATAGAAAATTAAATGTCTTGATAATTTCACATCCCTTTTCATAAATAAGTTTCTAGCTTGTAAGACTCTAAAGATCAGTGTGACAATGTACAGGAAGTGCCCCCCCCAAAACAGGATAAGGTTAGTAAATTTTTCTAGGGGTCAGGGAACTGAGATCCAATGTTCCAGCTGTTTCCACACCCAGGAAATAGGGGAAAAAATGAAAAATTAATTTGCATAATTCAAAGAAGTCAAATAATTTAGCCTGGCACCGTGATATGTTAATTTTTATAAAGCCCTTAAAAAGGGAGAAAGTTTTGTAAAGGTTTTGTAGGATGAAATGGTTGACTGGAAGTTTGAACTTGTTGCACATGATGTGTGACGCCTCAAGGGAAAAGCCAACATCACAAATCATTATCATATTTCATGCATATAGTGTTTAATGTGTATTAGGCAATAACATTTTGTAAAACAGAGCATAGGACCTTCAAATTTAAAAGTCACTCTATTTTTTTAAATTCAAAAATAACCAAAATCATTGCGCTTTTTTTAAAGCTCTGAGAATGCTAACATTCACCGATAATACACTACATGGAAAGCTGGTGAGGCAACACTTCCTTGGTAATTCTAAAAGTAACTGAAAATGATTACAGTAACACTACAGAAGGAGGGTAAGGTTATCCCTCATTTTTATAGTTGCAGTATAACTTAACAATGCCCTGGTTATTGCAAAAATAAAAATTAATTACAAGTAGCTATTTATTTGTCACGAGTTGCCTCTAAACTCTGCTTAGACATAAACGTCTTTGCATGCAGCTAAAAACATGAGACAACAAGTGAGAGGAAACGGGGGGGGGNGGGGGGGGGGGGATGAGGAAGAATGGTAGACTTTAATGGAGAAGGGAAAAAATTCTGAGGGATTCTGAATCACCTGTAGCTGGAAGCTGTCGGTTTGATGGGAAGCTGGCTTTGAATGGGTGGGTTTAGTTCTGGCCCACGACTAATCATGACTCTTACCGGTTGGCCGCAATTTCAGGAAGGCAGCAGCAGCAGCAGCAGGGGAAAGGGTTTGGAGAAACACGTTGCCCTGCTAGTTGTTGAAGCATTCGGTCTGAGCCACCAAAGAAATCTTGGATCAATGCAAGGAATTTCCAAAGGGTGATGGAGTGGTAGCTGTAGCCAGAGGGGTAAAGGGGGATTCAGAAAAAAAAATGTCATCATGGCCCAGTGGGTACCAGAAGGCTGGCCTTAGACCTTTGGTTACCTCACATGAAGGATAAGATACCTGCCCCAGTCCATGTACAGAAGTTGAATCTTACTTCATGTACAGTACTAGCGATGGAGTAGGGTTGTATACCACACCTTAAGCAGCAGATTCACCTAGCAGCTTCCTGCCCTGTATGGGGGTGAGACCTACATCCGAGCCATCTTCTTGTCCCTTTTTCTGCCCTTTATTTACTTTTTGAGCCCCTTGTTCCTGGCATCTAGGTGTCTTCATGATAGGCAGAACAGCAGAAGCCCAAGAAAGTTGTGCAACATATGCAGTGTTGCCTAACAGCATGGGGGAGCAGTTGAAGAGTTATTGGGAAGCAACACAGTGGCGACCACAGCGCCTCCCTCCCCTGCATTTGCTGTCTTGAGGTGACTACGTCACTCTGCCTAATGGAAGGGCTGGCTCACGGAGAAGGAAAGAACTAGTCGGTTGAACAAAATGAGGTTATAAGCTTAAAGTGCATTTTAAAATTATGTTAAGACAGCCACTGCGTAACAAACATTACAAATATAAACAGAATGAAAATTGGTGTGTTTGTCTCAGGATCCAATCCAATATACCAGTGCTTCCCCACCTTGGATAACTCAGGTGTTCTTGGACTGCAGTTCCCAGAATCCTTCACCACCAGCTGTGTTGGATGCTGTTTCTGGGAGCTGCAGTCCTAGAATACCTGGGTTACCCAAGGAAGGAAACCACTGCAGTATACCATCACCCATGCTGAAAGAGAGAGGAAAATGCAAAAAAACATATATTTATGTTGTATTTGTTATAAAGACAGTTGAAACAGGAGAATGAAAGTAGAACCAGAATACTATGCAATGGGTCCCAGTAGGAACTTGAACTTATTTTCAAGACAGATATAAAGGTTCCAAAATATATTGTCTCCCCAACCCCCAAAGGCTGAGGATTAACGTTGGTTTGCCCACTTAGGTGGCAGTTCTAAGCTTCTGCTTAACATTCTAACTCCAACTTGATCATTTTCCAAATGGAACAAAGAAGAAACCATTAAAATAGCTTGGAGGGATCATACCTGAGAGATAGAAGATAAGCTTGGCCTGGACGTAGTCCAAGTTCTGCTCCTTGGTGCCTCCACTTAGAACAGTGGTTCCCAACCTTCAGTCCCCAGATGTTCTAAAATTCCCACCAGCTGTGCTGACCAGGATTTCTGGGAGTTGCCGTCGGATTACATCTGGGGACTCAGGGTTGAAAACCACTGAATTAGAAGGATCAGGTAGCAGGTGATAAAAAAGCACTTTGGCCTGAGAGACCTTGAACAGCTCCTGCCAACCAAAGGCCTTCTAGATACTGTATTCTTGGACTGACCACAACTCCCCTCATTGTTCACTATTAGCAGTGGTGGTGAAGCTTGATGGGAGTTACAATTGAACTGCTTCTGAAGGGCTAAACTTCACTAATTCTTACAATAGACAACAATAGGCTACATGTGCGAAATGATATCTAGAGAGCCATACATTATTTTTTTCCTGCCAAAGGACAAAACATTCTCTCCCAGTTTTAATTCCATCTGCCTCTCCCCCAGTTAAAGCAAACTTACATGGAAGCTACAAAGTTACAGACAAATGAAGCTCGAGGGATGAACAGTGCGATGAGAGAAGTCAGGCTGAACATCTGTTTGAGGAGGAGAGAGAATGGGATTAGAATGGATTATTAAAGAGCTGCACCTTGAATAAACTGATTTGTCCTTAGATAACACAAATAATCCATACGATCATGGATCATATTAATGCATTTGTGTTTGTTCCCTCCCTCTGTTGTTATTCTCCACAGAGAAAATGTGAATCTTCTTGAGCAAGTGCCAACACAGTCTAAGAAAGGAAACTGACATGTGGAGATGTGTTTCGAGGCTTAATTGAGTTACTACACCCTAGTTAACCAGAGCCACAAAGAGATAAAAATAAAGAAATCTAGGTGGACCCATGTAGTGCACCATCTTGTTTTCCACCAGAGCTGTGAGAGAAATCGGGCAGATGTCTCCATTAGACCTACCAAGAGAGTATGAAAGCAATACTGTAGTCCACCTCCACATAGACCTACCAAGAGAGTATGAAAGCAATAGTCCACCTCCACGGTTGCCTTCCTAGCAAAAACAAGTATTTAGTCATACATTGCCTCTAAAGCAGGACTGAGAGAAAGAGAGTGTGTAAGTGTATGTACATGTATCTGCTGTACATATCCTTTTTTTCTGAATCAGAACAACAGATGCAACCACCACCGCCCACCCCAGTCAAGGTGCATAGTACTAACGCCAAAGGTGTTTTGATACACAACACAGACAAGTCTCTACAGAGTAAGAATGGTCTTTGGATACATGAGGCTAAACAAATAAAAAAAATCAGATAAGCATCTGTCCCAATCCCTGACAATAAAATACAATAATGACAAAGTAATTTAACAGTTTCCGACCTTTTCATGATACCCAAAATCGGCTCCCTGAGGGGGCTGCTTCGCGGTGCCTAACTGCCTAGCCAGCTCTCTTCTAAATGGCAAGGTTCCTTGTTAATGTTCCTAATTCAGGTTGTTAAGTGTACGGATTTAAGTCCCTGTTTAAGCCAGAGACCATTACATTGTGGGGCATAAAATCACAATTATATGTTCATGTTAACATATGTTGGGGAGATATGTATACATCAGACTTGGGAAAATTAGTTTTTGGACTACAATCTCCAGAATCCCTAGCCATCCTGCCAGGTTGATTCTGGAAATCGAGAGTAGTGATAGAGAAATACAGGTTTACTTTTCCAAGTCTGCTCATGGCACAGGATGTAACGGTTCCTCTACGAAGCAAATTTGGCGTGGCACTGAGTGAAGGGAAATTTGAACACTGTTTTCTAAACAGTGTTTGTTTGTTTATGCAATGTCATTTATGCCAGTGCTTCTCAACCTGGGGCATCTCATGTCCTATTAATCATCATATAAAAGAACTGGGGTCTCAACATGAGAGAAACAAATATCCAAAGAGTGGTCTTTTAGACCAGATGGGCGGGGTATAAATCAAATAAATAAATAAAATAAACAAATGTGTTCATTAGCTTTCCACATATATGGACCTTCCTGTGCAGCATTAGCCATGGACCCCTTTTATTCAAGGATTCAAAAGGATTTCCGAGGATAGGTACTCAGAATGATAGGTACTCCTGGTCTTGGAGATGGTCATTAGGATCCCAAGATAGCATGGCACAGTTCCTTTTCCCCATTCTTACCGGATACACCCCTAGGATCCAGAGCGAGAGGCATGTGCGGTGGGAGCTGATTTTGCGGCGTACAAAAAAGCCTATCTGCTCCAAGAAGAAGCCGACCTGCACAAGGCCCAGGAACACTGGGATCAAGAAGATCCAGATCTGGCCCTTGATGACTATATGAGAAAGAGAGAGAGATGTGGATCAGAAATGAAGAGGGCACTTGTCCTTACTGACATCTCTAATTCTCGATGCACACCACATTTTCTGACTTGGAAGCCCTTCCTCCTCAACTCAGATATTTTGAGGTTAGCAAGCTGAGCTTTACTCAATTGTAGCAAACAGGAACTCAGAAGAACTTAATTACGTTGCCACTTTCCAGTGACGAGGCTGAGCACTAGGAAGCTCTGGCTGAAATGAAGCTCGGTAGTGTTTCTGCTAACCTCTCCCTATTGCCAGCCTTGACCTCACCCCAGATTTGCTGCCTTCTTCCACTTTTCTGAAGATTCCCCCATTCTCACCTTGAAAGATCTCAGATGACAATGGCAAATGATCGCTGGAGAGGGAACAGTTTGGGACACGCACCATTTTCTTCTTACGAGAGCATGTGTCTCAACACATACCCCATAAATACACACCAATAACTTCCTTCTTTCCCATCATTAGTCACTGAATTAATCATTGACACAAGCCAATAACTGGTGTCTTGGCAACGGAGCCAAGTCCAGCTCTCTTCACCTGTCCGGGATTCCTGAACAAAGGAATTGTTCATCTGTGTTGATCAACAATGAAGGACTCCTAATGTTTCAGAAGAAGGGTTCTATAGCAGGGCTTGGGGATTTCTAGCTCTCCAAATGGAAGCTCACTGGCATCGTCAGCCAAAACCAGTGTGGCCCAGACAGAGGTTTGGAGGAATCTCACCTCCCCAACACAGGCTGTACCCATGAAGAAAACCTCCAACCCGCCCAGGTCTGAGACTAATTCTGAGTCACTTTCTCACTCACACAAAGTGTACCAAAGCCAGGAGGAGGGTTGGAGCCCTTCTTCTCTGAGAGGCATCTACTCAGGAGGAAGAAAGGAAGGAGTCTGCCTCCAACCTTTGCTTCTCTCACTCAGCCGCCTTTTGCAGAGAGACAAAGTGGGGAGATCAGACAAAATCCAAAGAAACAAGACAAAACCATATGGCACCTTAAAGACATATTTTAATGTGAGCTTTTGTGGATGCATCCACTTCGTCAGACATATGGAAACAGAATAAATGTTGAATGAAATATCAGTTTCACAAGTAGAACATCCTAAGTCTTCATTGGCTCTTGGATGTACGGTACATCTACATGCAGTAATTTATAACCTGCATTATCCTCGTCAAGCGAGGCACCACTGTATGTTGTTTCAGGGTACTGTTGTAAACTTTATTCTCCCCTCATCTTCTCTCGGGCCTGATGTCTGTTTTCTGTCTCCTGGAGGAAAATTTACAACAGTGCCCTAAAACAACATAGGCCATAAATTACTGCATGTAGATGTACCCTAGAGCCAATGAAGACTTAGACTGTTCTACTTCTGAAACTTGCTATTTCATTTAACCTTTCATTCTGTTTCTATATGTCTTACAAAGTGGACATGTCCACGAAAGCTCACATTAAAATATAATAGTTATTCTTTTAGGTGCCACATGTTCTTGTCTTGTCTTGTTTCTGTGGATTTTGCCTGATATGCTCACAGAGGCAAACATGGCTAGCTCCTCCAAAACTACAGAGTGAGGAGAGGTGGAGAGCCGGGAAGATTTGCAGCCTTCAATCCAGCTTCTCAGGTCCTCCTCCAGTGTAATAAAGTATCATGAACCAATTTAAGTTCCAATTTATTTCTACTAGTTAATTCATAATTTATATAAAATTTAAGCTGAGTTATCCTCCCATTAACCACCCCCTCATAAAAAAAAACCTAATTCATTTGGCTCACTCAGTTTGTTTCGGCCTCTTCCCATTGATCTCGATCACTCCTCATGGTGGATGTTCATTTTCATCGCTCTCCAAACTCACACTCTGTTAGCAGTCCTCCCCACAGACCAACACCTTTCGCTTTAAATATCACAAATCACTCAGGAGAAAATCCAGGCAAGGCACAACCACATTCCCTGTCTTTAACCCTAATATTTAATATGTCAGATGCAATTGAAAACAGTAACCAAACACCTACCCTGGTCTAAGCTACAGTACGTTACACTTCTGCTCCCTTATTGGTGCAGGAGGGAGGAAATAGGTTTCAGGATTAACATTGAGCCAGTTGGATCCACAGAAAAATCAAGAATAGAGAAGGGTTGTCATCAGACCCACACAAGATTCAAAGGGAATTAGGTCTTGTGTCTTTAATAGGGGACTTCAGATCTAAGTATGACAAGCATCATCTGCTAAAATTCCTTGTTCAGTTAGATTTTTTAAATCTCATCTGCCCATCAGAGTGATATACAGTGTGGAGAAGTTCTATATTTTGAATAACAGGTCTCAGACCCCTCCAACTGTTTTCTCAGCTCTGTTGCTATGATCATGTTTGGGCGGCGTTGACTCTTGGCCATCATTTAAGTTTTCTTTCTCATCCACACCTTTTCCACACATTGTGCAGAACCTGTGCTTACAAGAGCTGCATGTGGATGTGAGTTTTCTTTCAGGTTCCCCACTGAAAAAATCTCCATTCAGAAAGTAAACTAATACACAAAGAAGAGAGCAACACTTAAGCTCTCCCACAAGTGTAAGTCCACTCAACGCACTGGTAGCATATAAATATAAGAATTAATGGATTGGGTCCATTTAGACCATTGTAGTCTATATTGTTTGCTAGCAGTTCTCTCTACAAAGCCATATTCCTTTTTTTCAACTAGGAATGCATGAAGTCTGGCCTCCTGTATTCAAAATGCCTGTTTTCTCTTTCATCTCCAGCTAAAATGCGTTCTCTTATAGGCCAAAAGACAGTTTTTTTGTTTTTTTAAAAATCAGCACTTAAAGAAATAAGGTAGCAAGCAGAGAAAGGCATAGCAATGTGCTATCATGGTTATCTCCTTCTGAATTCATGCCAGATGTGAAATCAGGAGCAAATTTCTGCACTGTGCGAAATAATCTGATAACATTACTGTGAGTATCTTAAATATTCTCTGTGGCTTCAGGCAAGTGTCAGAGCTGTAGGAACTAAATAACTATTTTTTCCTTATTCATAGCGGTTCTGCTCCTTGGCCAGAAATTAACATGAAATATTAAATGACTTAAGAATTTGGCAGATGGGTTCTGATGGGAGATCCACCTCCGTCAGTTTTCCATTTACTGTATCTGCTATGCTGCTACCTCCGGTCTCCATCACTTACACTGAACGTGGTATGTCTGAGCCTCTTTTCTCCTGTTGGGCTGTTGGTCCTGGGCCATTACCTGTATCTAGGCTACGAGATAATGGCCCAGCTCCTATGATCACAAGCCAGAGTTTGATTACATATAGACTCAAGCTCTGCTTACTTTCTCTGGTTTTAACCTCCACCAAGAAAAAGGGTGAAGAGAAAATTCTAGGGGGAAAATATTTTTTTTCCTATCACAGGAAAGAAAGCATCTGTTGCAGCTTGCAACAAATTGTGTTTTAGGCTGGATGTAGGAAACTGCTTTTTTAAGGCTATGGCTCTTCGAATGTTCCAATAGCCATGCAAGCAATGTGGTTCTGAAAATCCTGGTCTGAGAAAGTAGATTTCCAAGCTCCAGATAACTTCTTTCCAGTGGCAGGTAGGGCCAAAGGCAAGAAAGCAGGGCTAAAGTACCAGTATATTTTTCTCTTAGCTTCAAACAGTACCCATTTTACTGGCAAAGTGCTGGCTGATTCCACAGATACTAACATCAGAGACAAAAGAGACAAACCTTCATATTTGTGATAAAATATCTGCCTATACAGCATTCTTGCCATTCCATTCAGATTTACAAAAAACACAACACATTCTGGTTTTTATTTTTTTAATCATTGAAGTATACAATCAATCTTGATTGAACTCTGAATTCCCCGCCTTCTGTACACAGAAATACTGTTAACTTAGATGGTTTCTGAGAACTCAGATCCCCACCTAGAAAGAGATACTGTACTTGATAAAATGATACCACCTGTTCTGTTATCCAAGCTTAGAACTGCCTCCTTCTGCTGCTTTTTCAGACTGGACCTTGTAAAACAACTCCTCAGGTATATCCACATCTAACTTGCTCTTTCAGGCACCATGTGCTGTACAATGCAGAATTATGCCAGTGCTCATTACCCTTGCATGTTTACCTCGCTGCTACAGAAGCAATGGCTAATGGATATCCCAGAAGATGTTGTTGCAGAGAAAGAGGATAATTCTACTAAAAACTAGACCACCTAGGCCAGGGGTCCCCAACTCCCAGTCCGTGGCCACGGAGACAGATCTACTGCCCCCTGCACACACTCCCCCACCCGTGCGCATGAGCATGACCCTGCCCCCCCAAGCCGTGTGGGTGCCCCCCCACAGACCCCACCTCCCCACCCGGTCCATGGTTCGCTGTTGGGGACCACTGACCTAGGCAACAATGAGACTAGAAGGGTAGAGTCCATATGATAGCATTCTTGGGCCTTTCAAGTTGGGATCATAAGACATTAAGTGGGGGTCATACAATAAAGCAAGAGCAGGCAAAGTGTGGCCCTCCAGATGTTGGTGGGCTCCCACAACCACCGGCAGCCCCAAACCAGTGATAAAGAATACTGGGAGTACTAGTCCAAAACATCTAGGAAGCTGTACTTCACCCACCCCCTACTTGAGAGAGCCATACTTGAAACCATTTGACACAGATTCAGCATTTCTTAATATATTCATACGACCCATATTGGCTTAATCACCATAATGAGGGGAAGAGAACATGGTAGAAGATGAGTACTATATCCCTCCTCTCCTCTTCCCTTTAGTGCTTATGTTCTACCCCACATTAATCTGCCTGGAAGGAGAGAAAACATTCTTCCAGAATAATTAATGCAAATCAGTAATATGCCAGCAATGAATGTATTCTGACTAGCTATGCATAACCAGACACCGTATTTTATTTCCTGAGTTTTTGAGTTTTCTTTGCGAGAAGGGGAAAAAGAAAAAGAAAACAGAGCAAGTTTCTGGTTCACCTGGTTGTGGAGGAAGAGCAGATGGATAAGCAGGAATTCCAGGTATCTCAGCAACAGGGAGTGTCAGCAGGTGCCTTGCAACGGGGGGAAGGAGATCTCTTTTCAACTAGAGGTTTGGATTTAATTTCACAACAGCTTCTTTCCCTGGGTAGGTGCAGCTGAAGGCAAGAAGGTAGAGCAAAAGTACCAGCATATTTTAGCTTTAAGCTCTTATTGCAGTAAGTAAGCCTTAGGACAGGCACTGCAGCTGCTCGCATTGGAGAGAAATAAACCTGTACAAAAGCGACATATGCCTGTTCTTCTTGCTTTGCCCATCTTCCTCTCACCAAACATCCTTGCGTTGTTTCTGCCACTGCTGGAATTAAGAATCCTCAAGCCTCTGAAACGAGGAGATCTTGGAAACAAAACCTCGGTTATTCAAACTCGCTGATCCTAAATTAAAATAACCTTATCTTCAAAGTTAGGGAGGAGGGGCAATTTTGAACCACACAGTTTTTTTTAAAAAAATCACCTTTCTGACTGGCCAGTCATCAGACTTTACTGTGAAAAGAAAAGAAAAAGGGCAGCAATCCCAGCAATGACTAAGGATGCCATGAGAGCGGTGGGCCCATTTCCCATCATCAGGCATGAGACAGAAGAAAGGAGAACATGCACAGAATTAGCCAGACAACTTTTCTAATAAAAATTATTAAACGAAACCATACAAGAACGCAGTTGGAGTTGGGGGGAAGGGAGAGAGAGCGGATATGGTTTCCCCAGAGGGTCACTAGAGGGAACAGCAGAATAAACCAGGGATTTCTACAATAGCAAGGAGTGTTGTTCCCTCAAAGAGTCAATGGATGGGGAAAGAACTGATTTCCTATTGTTGTGGTTTTGGGAACTGTTGAGGCTATCCTTCTCAAGAGGCTTTGTCGTTGGGGGCCGTGGATCAGGGTATGCCCAGGGTGTCGTGTGCAGCACACCCCCTAAGCAGAGAGGCCCCTTCCTTCCAAAAGTGTCCCAGAGGGAAATGGGCTCAGCTGGTTGTTCCAGAGACTTAAGTCCAGATTGGCACCAAAAAGTTCTTGAAGAAGACAGGGTTCTCCACTCTGCCTCGCTCTTCCTGTCCTCCTGGCTCCATCTCCCCCTCCAGCCCATGCAAGAGGTTCAGCTGATGAGTCGGTAGAAGACCCAGCATCCAAAAGTCACCCAATGGCTGGCCCAGCTCAGTTCAGACCACTTACGAATGGTGTAGGACATGCCATAACCCTGGAGAGAAGAGAGCACAGCTCAGTCAAGTAGTCAAAACTTAACATGAGTAAGAAGAAAGATTGGGGGTGGGGGACAACTTAATTGGGACCAGCCATAATAATTATATGCCACAGATTTTTTCCTGGATATACCGTATTTGCCGGTGGCCATAATAATTATATGCCACAGATTTTTTTTTTCTGGATATAAAGCACTTAGAGTCCCTTCTCTGCTGCTGGTGTCCTGAGACTGGGTGCAGCTGGCAGAATGCACAACTAGAGATGAGCATGAACCACAGTTTGGTGTGGAACCCACACAGATGTTTCGCAGGCACCACGCACTTCCCTCCTCACCTCCTCCAGGTGATCACTCACTCAGCAGTGTGCTACTCTTCTCAGCCTCCTCTGGCAATCACCCACTAAGAGGCAGTGCCTTGGGCTTCCCTGCCTGCTTCCTCATATGAGTGGGTGGCCACCAGAGGAGATGGAGGAGCGAAGCATAAGGGGCTGCCTCTGAGTGTGCAACTGCCCAAAGAGGTGGAGGAGGCGCTGCTGCCAAAGAGCGGGTGACCAACCGGAGGCGGAGAAGGGAAGTCTGCAGCACCCGTGGAACACCTGTGCAGATGCGCTGGGCCAAACTGGGCTGAATCACAGTGCGTGTTCATTTCTACAAACAATCCCATCAGCAACACATTACAAAATGATGCTCTGGGTGACTTCAGCCTGCCACTCTCCCAGGAGGCACAGTGAGATTCAAACCTTGTGGGTGCTTCAACCCATTGAGCTATACTCTTATACCAAGGAGAGGCCGGTTACTTTGCAACTTCTAAAAGCACTGCACCCTTTCTCCTGATGGATGTGTATCTGTAGTACCAATCTCTGCCATGAAAGCTTATGAAAAGAATTGTATGAGGGGGTCCCCTTTCCCTGTTATCTTCTGTGTTTCTAAAATAATGCCATACAAGTAAGAAGTGTTGAAATTAGTGTTGTGAGAAAGTTTGACGGTGTCTGCCATCCTGTATCCGTTTACCTGGGAGTAATGTCAACCGAAATTTATGGGACTTGCTTTCTGAGTAGGCATTATAAGATAATACTGTCTTTGAAAAAACTACAATTTTCTAGTCTTCAGGATACTGAAGATAAGCTTAGCGGATTCCTTGTGCAATTTTACAGCCAAGAGGACAGGGGGAAGCCCTGAAAGTTCAGGAGATCAGGCAGCTATATTTTCTGTGCTTCTCCATGAGGGCTAGTAGTAGAAACAGAACTATGCGCAACAAACAACCATGTTTATTTGCCCAGTTTATTGTGGCTGCAGAATCTGGCCTTCTGTAGAAATGAATTGGCCCTACCATTAGAGGTCAGAAGCATAGCCCCATGTTACCCTGTATCCTTTGGTCTTGTGTAAGGATTTCTGAGGGCCACCACAGGGACTGTATATTTCTTCAACTGTGCTCCTTATTAAACAAGGCTTTCCTATACCTGTATTTCAACACCCTTCCCAGTCTCCCATTCCTTACCTGCTCTTCCACAGCGTCGTCAGCGTCCATGTCAAATAAGGAGCCTAGGTAGGACAGGTGGAAGACCGCGAGAGCACCAAAAATGAAGTTGAGGAGGTAAACCCAAAGATTCTGTAACAAGAAGTCATGGAGGCTCAGTTCAACTGCACATGAGCAGGACTCTCCCCTGCGCCCACAACCCAAGAAGGGATCCCAATAGAGTAAAAAGCATGCTTTGCATGGTGCCGGTCCCAGGTTCAATGGCTCTACCCCCAGCATCTACAATCAATAGGACCCTGCGCCCACAACCCAAGAAGGGATCCTAATAGAGTAAAAAGCATGCCTTGCATGGTGCTGGTCCCAGGTTCAATGGCTCCTACCTCCAATAGGATTTAAGGAGGCTGAGTTGGGAAGGAGCTCTTCCTGAGAGCTTGGAGAACACAGTCAGGCCAGACCGTTGGACTGATAGCGTCAAGGATGGCCACAGACCCTGGGAACATAAAGCTCATCTCACCCTATTGTTGCGATGCGAACATCCCGGCTGGCACCTCTTGGAGAGTATGCAGGCATCAAAGATGACGGAGAGCCTCTTCCGGAGGACTAGGAAGAAACCAAAGCATAAGGGCACCTCACCAGAACAACTTGTTCAAGTTCTTTGCTGATGAGGCCTAAGTCTTGGTCTGCTGTTCTTTGCTGGGTTGTTTACCCAACCATTTTTTTTCCAGAGGTTGGAAAAATTACTGTGAAGAAAGCAAGAACTTGGGGAAACATGAAAAATGAAATTCAGTTTCTGGACTTTTCTGTGTTTCTGAGTGCATGGAACATAAGCTTGGAGGACAAAAGGTCATGTGGAAATAGTCTGTTCCCACCTTCTCCTTACCTCCTGTGGTGTATTCCTGACAACTTCAAGGAAAGAAGGGGTGCTGCTTTGTTCATCTTTTATCAAGAGGACTTCAAAATAGGAGTTCGAATTTCACTTTATCTTTTGTGTCTCAAAGCAGTCACCCATTGTTTCTATCTGTGAAAACCGGAATTAGTCTATTTCCTTCCTTGAAGCTGGGAACAGCAGTGAAATGCTTTTGTTTTGCAGAATCATCCAAGTGGATTAAGAGCTATTAAGTGACTGCAGGCCACAAATAGCTCATTCAAGTGTATAAAAGGAATGGGGAAAAGGGTGATTTGTCTTAACCTGGGGGAGGGGGGAACTGATTCCATGAGGGAAGCAGTAGTTCTCCATCTTCAGAGATTCTGCCTGACTCATGAGGAGGACATTGCAATCCTCATGAAGATGTGCCAGGTTTTGCCTTATGAAGGGAAACCCAGAACTACTCCATCTCCTCTGCTTAGGTATGTATGAGTCATAAAGGGTAGATTGGATGTTATTATTTTCTGCCTGTCAGGTTCCTGCTTGAATGCTGTAATCCTGTAATCAAAATTGCTCCTGATTTTTTGCGAAGCCCGAAAAACCCACAACAACTATTTTTTAGTAACCTTTCCTTTTAACCATGTAAGGCTTGCATTCTTTTAAATCACCCCCTTTTCCCATTTCTTCTTCCTGTAATAAAATACAAGAATCCTTGCAAGCAATTTTCCGGTTGGCGAATGAGAGGGAAAGTAGCCTCGACTAAGCTACTGAGTTTTAATATTTTTATGGGGGTGGTGGCAGCCTGTCGTGTTTTGTGTATTAAACCCCCTGGCGCGTGCACAGCGTGGTAGGCTGAACGGCGTGCTGAGGAGTGAAATGTTCTCAGATTCACAGCTTCTCCTTACGTCTGCTCGCCCTGAGCTCTCCTCATCTCAGAACCAGCAGGAGGGAGAAGGCTGAGTGACTATAGAAAGGAGACTTGATTGGGAGGGGGGGATGTGACACAGTGTCACAGGGTCCCCTGATTCTTTGACAATTATTTTTCTGGATTGTATCTCTCATGGTGCCGTTGGTCATGCTCACTAGGAGATTTTGGGAGTTGTAGTTTTTACCAAGCACCATTTACTATATTCTGATTGATACCCTCAGGGAACAGTTTAGTTTCACGCTCTTCCTTCTGTGCTGGAGAAAAAGGGAGCAGGGAGATAGACCTGAAGGTCGCCACAGACTGTGAATGTAATAATAAATCACAGTGGTGTGCAATAATGTCTGTCAAGCTGGGTGGGGATAATGAACTGCCACAATGGCTCAATAAATGTGAAGTGCTCACCATGCTCAATGTAAGTGATGAAACCCAGAGATAGCAGCACAGCAGCCAGGTGGAAACTCAGCCCCTAGGCAGAAAAGCAAGACAGGTAATTCTCCCACCAGAACGACAACTTCAGATCTGAACTCTTAATTCCCACCATCACCTTAATAAATTGTAGCTGGATACAAGTCCCATTCCCATGTCTGGCATGTCAGATTATCTATTGTGACCTGCTTTGAAGAGGCCTCTGGATGGTAAGGTGGAACCGAAATGTTTTAGAACAAACTTAGCAGTAAATATTTGGCCATGGCTTTGAGCCAGAACTGAAAGAGAAAGATACTCACATGTAAGAGGGCACTTGCTGCGTAAGTTACAATGATGGCTGAGAAGGTGCCCAGTTTCAAGGAATTCTTAAAAACATCTGGAAGCAGATTGAGTTAGTTAGTTGAGCAACCCCTCTGGTTCTCTACCGAAATCCGCTGAGATACAAAACACAATGTTCGTTTCAAGCAACTACTAGACATAGGCTGTTTGTATATCAAATTGTGGCACCACAGGTGCTGCGGAGGCCCATTCCCTCCACTCAGAACCACCTCGTCCACTCACTGGTCGCCATGCGGGGCTTGGGTCCTTTGTCGTTGTCATCGCACCCATCTGGGAAGGAGCCCCACCGACACTTCCTGCCTCCCTGCTCAGCTGACCACTCTAGACTGCGGGGCTTGGGTCCTTTGTCGTTGTCATTGCTCCAATCTGGGAAGGAGCCCGGCCGACACTTCCTGCCTCCCCACTCAGCTGACCACTCTAGATGGGGAATCTCCCCGCTCAGCTGATGAGTGGCTGGCTACATGGGGAGGCACTGGCCGGGCTGCCTCCCTGACTAGCCTGACAGCGATGACAAAGACCCGAGTGCCACGTGGCAATTGGAGAGTGGACCAGCCAGTTCTAGAGGAAGGGAATGGGCCTCCACGTGGCACCTGGGGTGCTGTGATTCATATCCCCAGGGATACGAATAGCCCATGTCAACCAACTACCCCTACCATGCTTCCATCTTGTCCAACTAGCTAGCCTCCCTTTTGAGGTCCTTGTAACCCATGTCTACCCCACACAGCCCTTCTTGCCAGTTGCTGGATTAAAGAACATCGCCTCTCCTCCCTTTACACTCGCTGAGCTGGGTCAGGCTCTTTGGAGACACAACTCAAAAACATCTTGGGTGGGGGGGGAACATGCTGCCTATTCCTTATACATCTAGTCCCACATTCTGTTACCAAGAGCAGCTTCCTAAAGCAGGGCTCAGGAACCTGTAGCCCTCCAGCTGTCAGGGAGGTCCAGTGCTCATCAGTCCTAGCCAGCCTAGCCAGTACTGAGGTGCGATGAGAGTGGTAATTCCTTAATCTGTGGTAGGGCTGCCCAGCCTCGATCTAGAGACATTTGAGAAGCATGCATGCAGGGAATTATGGCAGCAAGCCTTCCCTTGTTTGCTCCTGCCCTGACGGCTAAGTGGAACATCCATACGAAGTAGAACATGGAAGTTCTACTTAGTCATCATGACTAGCAACTGTTGACAGACCTAGCTTCTGTTACTCTGTTTGAATTATCACTCATTGTTTCAAAGCCATCTAGACGATTGGCTATCCCAACTCATGGTACTGAACTGGCTCTTCGACTGTTTTGGATTTCAGCTCCCAGTCATCCCAGCCACAACAGCCGGATGGGAGCTGCAGTCTATGGGGAACATTCAGCCGATAAACAGGGTGCGTGGAAGAAAGAGATACCTCATGACATTGGTAAGGGGTTGATTATTCCCACTCCAAAGAAGTCACAGACCTGCTTTCTTGAGAAGCCCATTGATTGCCCAAGACTAAGAGGGGACCAGTTTCAGCTTCTTTCTAAACCACCCCTTTCCCCACGCAATGACAATACAGAGCAGCCAGCCTCCTTACAGGAGTTCAGCCAACGGGACATGGGCAGGTTCCAGCTGGTGACCACCTCCACCATGGAACGTGGCAGCTCCACATTCAACGGGCGAGAAACGGTCAGATCCCTAGAAGAAGGAGAAGATGGGGATAAATCACGGGCATGACGGAGAACACACGAGGGGACTCTCTGGCTTCGTGGTCCCTTTGATCTAGAAGAGGAGGCATGTCCAACAGATAAGAGTGCATAGATGGCTGGGTAGCTAAGTGAGTTGGAGCATCTGGCTGCAGAGCCAGAGGCTGGGGGTTTGATACCCACTGTACCTCCAAGGAGAAATGCCAGCTTGTCTGGCCCTGGACAAGCTACATAACCTCAGAGCACCCTCAGAAAATTAGGACAGTAAACTGCTTCTGAGTACTCTATATCTGGAAAACCCTGGAGAGAGTCACCATCACCCAGGGATAGCTGCTGGATAGCTCAGCAGTTAAGGCACCTGGGAGTTCGATTCCCCACTATGCCTCCCTGACAGCGACTGGACTTGACGATCCATGGGGTCCCCTCCAGCATTACAGTTCTAAGATTCCAAGCATCAACCTGTGACAGCACATGATGATGATGATGTTACCATTGTCATCGTTAAGCATGCATAGCTGCTTTTGCTTACATTCATCCATTGTTCCTCTGATCGCTTCCATCTTTCTGTCGCCTTTTCTTCCCACTCTTAATATCTAGATAGGTTTCTGCTCTAAGGAGCCAACAGTCCTACTTAAATTAGCCTGGAATCCTATCCTCCCATAACAACCACCACCACCCCCTTCCTAGACCCACGGAGAGCTCTTGCTCACCATTTCAAATTGTCCTTCTCCTCTGTGAAGCTGGACCCAGCCAGGGTGGCTGTAGTTTCAGATAGGAAGCCCACGAAATAGTTGCTGAAGTGGAAAGAGCTGGCGCTTTCGTAAGCCCGGAGCCACCTGCATTCGTGAGAGCAAAAAAACTTGTCTTAGAAACGGGTGGCACCTTTGGCCAGTCTACATCAAGGAAACCGAAATCCTGCAAAGACTCACCTCACCATTGTGCTCCTGGGGCACCGAAACAGGGAAAGAAAAGCACAGGAGTGAGGAACAGGAAAGGAAGAAGAAATAATCAGTAGATATTGAGAGTGGGGCAGTGGGTCGTTCTCTATCGGCAGAACTGAAGGAAAACTATGAGAAAAGCTAGAGAAGACCACAAAGGGGTTTCTGGTGTCTGGGACCACTTTAGTTTCCAGTGAATAAAGACAGGGGTATTTCTATTTTGTGGAAATGCAGAAGTGTAGGATTTTTAAAAAGGAAGATGTTTGTTATATTTGCGAAGGCTTTCACGGCCGGGATCTAATAGCTGTTGTGGGTTTTTTGGGGCTTTTTGGCCATGTTCTGAAGGTTGTTCTTCTTAACATTTTGCCAGTCTCTGTGGCCATGGGCATCTTCAGAGGACAGGAGTCAGAACCAGAGCACAGACAGAGTTCCGACTCCAGTCCTCTGAAGATACCGGCCACAGAGACTGGCGAAACGTTAGGAAGAACAACCTTCAGAACACGGCCAAAGAGCCCGAAAAACCCACAACAACCAGAAGGTGTTTGTATTTCCAGAGTTACAAAAATGTATCTCAGTCAGAGCACTAACTTTCTTCAGACGTTTGAATTATTCACTAATTTTCTTCAGATGTTTGAATTATTCTATTTCTCTGATTAGGTCGGTGTCCTCCAAGGCTACGTTTTCCTCTTATTCTGAAAAATTAGGTTTTCCTCTTATTCTGTGAATGCTCAGAAGTGCTAAAATTTATCCTACTTTGTACAGTTTCTATTGTGAGTCTGTGGGGGGGGGGAAGGGGGTAGAGACAAGATTGGCAGCAAAGGGAAACTGTTGGCTCTCCCACTATCCTTGGACTATAATCCTCCAGAATCCCTGACAGCTCCCTGTGCTGTGCTGGGATAGTGGACACTGGGGTCACAAAACATCTGGAGGGCCATGCTTTTTCTAGTTGTGTCATATTACTTAATATTAAATGGTTTTTAAGGCATTACAGTGGCACACTACCCAAATCACTACCTATATCATACATATAGATTGCGTTCCCCTGTCCTAGACAAAGAAGAGCACAAAGATGATGGCTGGCCATTTTGTGTTATTTGTTTTCAGAGGTACGCTCCCACTGTAACAAAAAGTTCCAGTGAGATACACAACTGCATGGACTATGAGAAAGTTTATGACATCAATGCAGGACAGTGCCATGAAGCATGCCTTGTGAGGTAAAGCCACATGGAGAGCAATGGAGCAACAGACAGAGCCACAGAGGAAGCCACGCCACACAGAACAAAGGGAAGACGCGCCTCTTCAGCAAAGCCAGTGACTGACACAGATGTAAAGGAGGCAAATCAAGGCTGGTCAGCAAAGAGAGACCCAAGGCGCCACATGAGGTGCTCACCGCATGGGGCCAGCAGACATACCAGCTGCAGACCGTAAGACGAGGTTAAAAAAGGCATCTGCAGGCGTGTTGTGCAGCAGAGTGAGCCATGATGGGAATGTGCCAACAGGTCACAGGCCATGCCAGGTGCTGAGTTACACGGAAGGGGAAAAAAATGAGTTGTGTTGGTAATACGGTGCTTGAACTGAGCTGTTGCACCACGGCACCACCAGCTTCAATGACCTAACAAACGATGGAAGTGACATAAAACCCATGGGGAGGTCAGGAGCGTAACATAGCCACATGGTGAATGACACTGTGGACCATAGCAGCTAGAGAGCAACGCTGCCGAGGTCGTTACCTGCTTCTGCGCTTCCTGTTGCAAGTCACACAATCCCAAAGGGAAAGAAGAAGGGTGAAAGAAAATTAAGGAATGCAGGAGGGGTGGAACAATCATCAGGTCACAGGATATTGTAAGCAGTCATTGAAAATATCTCTACACTGAGACACTTCCTATGCTGTTAGTTGTCCAAAAAAACAGAGATAACTGACAGGTGCACCTTCTTCAGATACTAGTGGAAACTGGCATTGCTACAGAACTTTTCCTAGCTGCTCAAGTCAAGGACTGTTTTAAGTGATAAACAGTTTAGCATTCCTTAAATCCCTGCCTTGTTTAATTGCAGGCTTCCCATAAAACAGAAGAGTTCAATCGAGAAGACCACTGGAACAAGAGGCGGATATAGCAGGAGGACATTAACAAGCGCAGACAGGGCGCCTCAGAGCCTGAGTAAGGATTCCTGATGGTTAACCAAGATAGAGAGGAGTTTAAAAGGATTAAACACCTGTAATAAAAATGACATGAAGGAGGCACCACAGCTTTAATAGCAGGAACTGCTTGGTGCACTTCAAGCTTCTAGTAGTGAGAGAGACAAAAGTTCATCTCTTTACTAGAAAATCGCACTAAATTAAGACAAATATGCAGGACCAGACTTGGAGGGAGCAACAAACAGCATCTCTCTTCGCTCAAATCAAGCTGAATTAATACCCAAGGCCAGTCAAGTTATCTCACAAGGGCTGGTCCCTGTCTGGCCGCCAAAATACTCCTGCATCAGTAGTTAACCACTGCTGCCCCAAATCAATTGGGAGAGGCAGCCGCCTTATCCTATCCTGTGGTAGAGCCGGCCCTGTAATTTTCTTATTGGTCCTGAGAAACGGTTGGGGAATCCTACTAAAAATAACTCAGATTTCCCTTAATTTTGGGCGGCACCTCTAAATATTTAATTAACTAAACAGCGAGCTTCCGAAACCACCAGCTGAATGTGGGATTAAAATCTGGATTTGATCTTGCATTTTTAAACCAACTCTTTTGCTTCAGAGAGCAAAATCACGGGCTGACTCAGAGCTGAAGCATCATTCCAGTGTGAAAGATGAGAACACCCACTCTACTCAGAAAGACACCTTGAAAGGAAGAAAACCATCCTTAAAAAACAAAAAACAAACGTGCTTAGTAACCAATCTGATTGCCATCACAACAAGTTCTTACATGGCTGAGGTTCTGTTTGCACACCTACATAACAAAAGAGGCTCCACTGAACCTTCAAGGACTTTGTTGGTCAGCGAGGCTGGAAAGTTCTTCTTCCCAAAAAAATGGCTGCGGCTGACGACTATCAGCATTGCACAGCATAGCTGGACAAACAGGACTTCGGGGGGTTATTGTTCTGCACCAAATGACTTGATGTTTGTGAGCTCAAGGCCATACACTATACACCCAATTCTACCATTTGCTTTTCAGTCTTCATGGGCTAATGTGAAACCAAAGGGGGTTTTCTACAGGTGTAGAGAATGGAGAGGAGCTTTTAAAACAGAGATTAAAATAAAGCATTCAGAGGCATGGCCGGGAACACAACTGAAGGAAATAGCTCAAAAAAAAAATCCTTTGTGATAAGGAAAGACAGTGTATTTTTTTAAAAAAAAAATGTTCAGGCCTCAATCTGGTTTCTAGCCTCCACCAGCGCAAACCCACTGAATCAATAGGATTTGTTGTTTAGCAACTAAGTCAATGATTCTCTAGCAACTGAATTTAGGCCTCAATACTGTAATTATAATTCTACTTCTTCTAGAGTCTTATTCTACAGCACCCTTTGCATCAGAATTGATACAACATGGATGCAGAAATCTCTTTTAGCCACAGAGGCCAGCTTCTCCTGATTGAACCTAAGGCCAGAGCAACCCACTTACTTCCTGAGTAGCTTGTAGCTGTAGAGGGGTATGAAGTAAGAGAAGAGATAGGGGGCCACACAAGTGGACATGATGAGGCACACGAGGCAGAGGAAGAAGCTCTGGCAGACCTTTCTGAGCCAGGAAAAGCTCTGTGTGGAAGGCAAAACAAAAAAACAAAAAACCATCACATTAGGTGTATGCACTACACATTTTATATCATGATCGAAGTACAGAACCAGATGGGATGCTTTTTATTCATGTGTGTGTTCTGTGCCGTCATATCAGAGCTGAATTATAGTAACCCTAACAGGGCCTTCGAGCTAAGTGAGATATTTAAGGAGTGCTTTTATCAGTTCCAGCCCCTCAGTCAGTTTCCATGGCCAAGTGGGGATTTGAATCCTGGTCTCCCAAGTCCTAGTCCACCACTCTGTCTACTCCATCACACTGGGAAGCCATTGCTGCTATGTGCTGTCAAGTCAGAACTGACATAGAGTGACCTTATAGGGCTTTCAAGGTACGTGAGGTACTTAAGGAATGGTTTTACCAATCCCGCATACTGTATAGCCCAGAAAGTTTCCATGTCTGAGCAGAGATTCAAACCCAGGCCTCCTAACTCCGACTCCATCCCTTTATCCGCTACACTTCACAGGGTATCCAGGGTGAATATATGAATTTATTTTATATCTGTATATATTTATACACATATATGTATATATTTATTCATATATGCATGCATACATACATACACGTGGACAACATTTCAACTGGTTGATTAGTGGGCATATATAAACATATTTATTCACATATGCCCACTAATCAACTGGTTGAAATGCTGTCCGTATCACCCAATGAATACAGGTCGCTGTCTAAGACAGCAGTTTGAGGATGAAAGCTTTCTCTCTCTCTCTCTCTCTCTCTGCATGCACATGATTCCCTGGGATGGCTCATGGGCTAAGGGTGGGGATGCCCTCTCAGCATTTCAAAGTGGGATTCCTCTCATGAATCTTCCGTGGCAATCCACGACTGCTCCTGCTACTTAGGAACTTCTTGAGTTCAGAAGGAGGAGAAAGCCTCTCATAGAAGCCAGTCAGCACCAGCAACCCTGAAGGGAAGATCAAAAAACCCTGAGGAGATCGGGGGCAGAAGACACCTGAGGCCCCTCAAGAGTATAGAGGGCAGCCACAAGCCTTAATAAAGAGGGCTTATGCAGCTAGACCTGGGGCGAGTGTGCCCAGAGATATCCTGCCTAAACCCTTGAAATATTCTAGGCCCCATTCCTAAATGTTCAGCTTTCCCTTACAATTGAGTAGACAAGTATGGCCCTCCGGCTGCTGTTAGGCTGCAACCCCTATCCAGTGGTTATAAGGCTGATGGGAACTATTTATGATGTCATTTATGATGAAAGAATTAAAGTCTGTCTCATAAATGTTCCTGCACACAGCAAAGCCAATATATGCACATTGTTTTCTGACCATTTACTCAGCAAGAAATGCATCTACCTTTAATATTCTGGCCAACAAGTAAAACTCACAAAAGTTACATTTTGAGCTGACAGCTCCCAACATCTTTCTACAAACCTGGTCAGGGCAGCTGCTGGATTGTAGACATTGTAGTCCTGAAAAGTAAATTTTCTAAGGTTTGCCAACAACTATTGTAGTCCTGAAAAGTAAATTTTCTAAGGTTTGCCAATAACTATAAAGATACTAGGAAGCATTACTAATTCATTATGAAGTACAGCTTTAATTTAAACCCAATACTGGTGCCATTTTAGAAGTCGCCCCCCCCCCCCCAATTTTTAGTGGTTTGACTTTTGCTCAGTTGGCCCCAAAGATTTGGCCCACCCTGCTTTACTAGGAAAGAACAGCAGAGGGCGCTCACCATCTTCCTGCTCTCCACAGCTTGCAAGTAGGTGCGGAAACGGAACCAGGGTCCAAAGATAACTGTTCCCACGAAGTAGATGTACCCCATGAACTCGACTGGGGATGGGATGGCTGGCACCTCACCCCGGTCCAAATCGAAGCCCAAGGACACTGCCTTCATGGCCACAATCATCTGGGCACCTGCAGCAGTTGGATAGAAGTTCAGAGCTTATGGTCTTGCAGGTAAATCCCAAATTCTGAAACAGACTGCCCCAATTTCTGGGTTGACAGTCACTGGCATTTATTTGCCTCACTTATAGGTTGCCTTTCTCACTTACATGCAGCTCACAGTGTTAAAAATAAGGAAAAGATTTGAAAACAATAAATTATAAATTAAAAACAATTAAACTATAGTAGCAATTAAAATACGTCAAATGATTAAAATAATTTAAAACTTTAAAAATTCAACTAAAAAACGGCATTCGGGGACTCAATTATGATTGTTAGAAGCCTGCCTGAAGAGCCGGATCTTCAAGCTGTCAGCGGAAGGATAAAAGGAAAGGGACCAGCCTAATCTCCTGAGGGAAAGCTTTCTACAACCGGGGAGCTGCCACAGAGAAGGGCCCTCTCTCATGTCCACATCAAATGGGCCTGGAATAGTAATGTATGAAATAAATCTTAATGACAAATTATCTAAGGGAGGGGGGAAACTAAAAATCCAAGATCTCAGCATCTGTTCTTAGCGTACCCCAAAGTTTGTTCAGGGTAGGGAAGAGAACATCTGTCAATCACTCACCTCTCATTTTATGCCAGCTCACAGTGTCCACCATATGCATCTCTCTGTCAGGGGGAGGAAATGGACAGAACACTGACAACATCTTTGTGTAGCAACCTATCAGGGTTCTTTCCTCCCCCCACCCCCTTTTCCAACCAGCCAATTCCACAAGGATTTCCAAAGAAAGGGGAGACACCCCAAAGGCCAGATGCTCAACCATAAACTATCCAACTAACTGTTCCCTGTTGGTCCCTTCTTGTTCTGAATGATTTTTTTCCCCAGTGAGGTGGACAGAGGATGAACCCCCTCAATGAATCCAGTTTCCTGTTGGTTAAGCTCCCTTCCATTGTTCCCCCGTGGTCCCTTCTTGTTCTGAATGATTTTTTTTTTCCAGTGAAGTGGACAGAGGATGAACCCCCTCAGTGAATCCAGTTTCCTGTTGGTTAAGCAACCTTCCATTATTCCCCCACTATCCTCATGGCTCTATAATCAAGGGGGAGGAACATGCAGCCCTCTAATTTATGTTGCTGGACTGGAACTCTCGTCCCTCCTCATCAGCACAGCTCATGGTGAGGAAACAATGGAAGGTGAAACCAAACAGCATCTAGATCAGTGGTTCCAAGCCTTGGGGAACCCAGATGTTCTTGGATTGCAATGGCTAGAACCCCCAGCCAACACAGCGGGTGGTGAAGTCCTCTGGGGACTGCAGTCCAAGAACATCCGGGTTACCCAAGGTTGGGAACCACTGATCTAGGAGACTGCATGTTACCTCGAAAGGTGGTGAGTGCTCCAACGCTAGAGGCATTCAAGAGGAATGTAGATAACTTTCTAGCAGATATCCTTTGATTTGGATTCCTGCCTTGAGCAGGGGGTTGGACTCAACGGCCTTATAAGCCCATTCCAACTCCATGATTCTGTGATTCTGTCTTCCCTAAACTCCCTCCCTCCTTTCAACAACTTTCATGAACTGAAACCATTGCACATATGTTTAATTGCCTAAAGGGGCACACTGTCAACGAATATTATTGCACTGGTTGATTACTGATATCCTTTGCTATTAAGCAGTATGGACCAATGCAGGATGAACAGCCATATAGTTGAGAAGGTTTACAACTATAACTCGAGTTGTTCGGACCATGTGCAAGAGGACTTCAAGTATGTCAAATATTGACATATTTCTGGCTTTTTGGTCCACTGTTACCTAACATTGTAACGAGTCCTCTTACCTGTTGGGCCAGTCTGTCTCTGTAGTTTTAAAATGTTTCTTGGACTGAGTTATCATTTCTCCTCAACAACCTCTCAGCTGCTTTAGCTAAGAAGAGCATTATCCTGGCCATAAATGTTCCTTGCCAGTGGTCAATATCAATGGTCTATATAAGGGGCCAACCTTTCTGTCACGTTAATTGGAGAGCTGACTTACTGTTGGGCACAATGAGGCAGTCACCTCTGGGAGCTGATTTGGGGTGCCACAAAAAGGCAGCAGATCTATTAATCTATGGCAATTGTATTTTCACATTCTGGGAAGTGAGAGTTATTTGTGAGGATTTTCTTCTCAGGTGCCAACATAATTGATCTAACCCTTCTAATCTCTCTCTCTCACACACACACACCTATTCAAGGTATCTATTCAAAATGTCTCTGTTTCATAAATGGAGCATTTCCCCCCCCCCAAACCCCCACTCAGTGATTAACATGCCCAACCAGTTTTGTTCTGCGGGTGTGTCGGTTTCCTTCCCACCGACTCCTGAGCCCTTACCCCATGAGCAGATAGATGAGGATCGTGATGGAGAGCAGGACGCCACGCTGGGTGGAGTGGCGGCACAGGAACAGCACGAGGTAGCACAGGAGGCTGAGGAGGACGACCCACACCATCTGCAGCTGGAAGAAGTGGTAGAGGGCATAGAAGCCACTCGCCACTGTGCTCAGGTGCTTAGCATAGGATGGCAAAGCTGAAAGGGAGGAGAAACAGAGGTCAGATGGGAGGCAACCGGGACCTGGACATGTTGGTTTTTCAAAGTAGGGACTCCAGAATCCCACATTCAGCACAGCCATGACTTGGGCAGTGGGAACTGTAGTCTAATACATCTGGAGTACACCTGGTTAACAGAGGTTAGTCCAGTATAATCCAGTGACCCTACCCAAGCTTTCTCTCTCTCTCTCTCTTTCTCTCTGCATGCACATGATTCCCTGGGATGGCTCATGGGCTAAGGGTGGGGTGGGGACGCTCAAGAACTTGATGCTTGGGCTCCTTGGCCAGATGGGGAGCAGTGCGTAGCCAACCACACTTTGTTGGACTACAATTGCCATCATCCTCACTGGTGACTATGCTGGAAAGAATGTCAATTTTAGGTTTTTGGAAAGTTATATGACAAGAAAACTTTATATGGAGTTTGAATGGGAAATACAGAAAATGTAAAAAGAAGGAAACTTGAGATTCAAAAAAGTATTGTACTGCCCAAATACGATGTTCAGGAAGTAACTCCAAGTGGGGGCCATTGCTCAACAGGTAGCTCTCTTGGCCCCTAGAAGATCCAGGTCCCCAGGAAAGCTAAAGTTCTGCGTCATGATGTTTTGCCTAACTGAAAATCTCAAAATATAAAAACAGAGATTTCTATCATGTTTACAAGAATATCTCCCAAGACACACAGCCACGTGATTTTTGTATAAGGGAGAAATCCCTGCTGGGAAAATATTGGGTGAAAAATATTTAAGGCAATGTAATCTAATTATTGGGCTTTTGTGTATGCTTTGATAGAATCATTTTAATAATAATTTGGATTGCAATAGTTTGTTTTTAAGTGATGGAAGATTTAGCTAAGAAAACAATAAATGTTTACTATAGTGAAATTGTTTTCTTAGTATTTCTGAATTATAGAGCTTTGCTTCTATGACATTTAAACAGAAGCTCTTATTTTATTAGAACCTCTCTTTCTTCTAATACAGAGAAAGTATTGCTTACATATATGAACTAGAGAAATTTGTAATAGAAGGCTGTGATTTGTTTTTAATATATACTCATGTAACTTTTATATATACTCCAAGTGTATTTTATATTTTTGGCTTTTAGTGACTCAACTGCTTGCTTGCTAAATAAACCTTTTAAATGAAAAGAAGGATTCATTCTTGAACTTTAAAGACAAAATAATAAATGGTATCCAGGAATGAAGGCTTAAATTAAATATTACAAGGTACAATATGTTCTGTGACCATAAATAAATTCCTTGACAGATATGTGAAGAACACAAATCTGCAAGTCTCTCATAAGGAGCCTGTAAATCAGGGACGTCCAGATATTCCTTTGTGGAAACTGACAAGGAATTGCAGTCCAACACTGTGGTCATGTGTCATGGGCTACACTTACCCAGTCTCCAAAGCAGACGGCACACGAAGCACAACAGTAGAAGAATCCACACCTGCTCAAATCCTTGCTGAGTGGTTGGCAGCACGCAGCCACTCAGCAGCTGCTGATAGAACTCCTCCCGCGTGTATGTGACCATGGCCACCACCTGGAGGCAGAGGGAGACGAAAGGATGTCAAAAGAGGAGCCCGAGGGCTCCCACCCCATATTTATTTGGACATGTCTTCAGCACACAAGAGTGGGGTGCCACATGAGGCAAGTGGAGATGATCATAATACAGAATTTCACATCACATACAGAATTCTGTTCTAATTTTGTAGACCAGAATAGCTCCCTACATGAGGCAAGTGGAGATGATCATAATACACATAATACAGAATTTCACATAATTCTGTTCTAATTTTGTAGACCAGAATTCTAATTTTGTAACCCAGGTGTCCTTGGACTGCAGCCCCCAGAAGTCCCCCCAGGTGTCCTTGGACTGCAGCCCCCAGAAATCCAGGCCAACCCAGCTAGTGGTGAAGGCTTCTGGGAACTGCAGTCCAAGAATACCTGGGTTGCCCTGGGAACCACTGTTGAAGACAATTACAAAATCAGGGAACCCACAAAGTGTTGTGCTTAAATCCCGTATATTCCAGTTGAACATAATCTGAATGTGATTAGCTCCACAATTTCATAAGGCTTAGAATTTTTTTTCTTTTAAGTAACATATTAGCATTACCACAATTTCATAAGGCTTAGAATTTTTTTCTTTTAATTTACATACAGTATTAGCATTAGTCTGTGTGTGACAAAATAACTTGCCACTTGTGATGTTATAATTTGTAATTATAATTATAACTGTTCTAATTTCATGAGTAACATTCATTGCTAACATACCATTTTCTGTGTTTTTAATTTTTTTTTTTTACAAAAACACACTTAAAAATTGTGCCAACGGCCGGAAATCCAGATCAACAATTTAGAAATAACAAATACTACTTGTTATACTATAGTAAAGTAACTATGTCACCAGTCATGGCTTTGCAAAAATAGTTTATGCCCTTATTACTCCCACCGCCTGGCAGTGCATTAATATTGTGACTTATAGCATGGTACCTCCAAGGCCTGCAGTCTGAGGCCAGTGTTTACATTGACTCGCAATAATCCAAATAACAAACTAGCAGTCATGGAGCCATAGTTATCTAGGAACACTGCACAGATATTTGCAGGCACTAGTTTCATCTCTTCTAGGTTAACATTAAAAAACTGAACCAGTAGCCCGGGCATTTCTCACTTGGCATTCTCTTGGTCTAAGTCACCGTGATTCCCAGCCTTGGGTAACCTGGGTGTTCTTGGACTACAACTCCCAGAAATCCTGGCCAGCACAGCTAGTGGTGAAGGTTTCCGGGAGTTTTAGTCCAAGAACATCTGGGGACCCAAGGTTGGGAACCACTGGTCTAAGGCCACATAGTGCCATCAGTTACTGAATTCTGGGCCTCAATGCAGCCAGTATCTCAATGGAAGACCACCTGTGGGACTCGATCCATGTCCCCTTTTGTTCCATGATTGTAAAAAGGAGGTTATATAGTTGCAATAAATATAATAAGAAGCATAATTACACAGAAAAAAGTTCCACTCCCGTCTACAAAAATCTTATTACTTCTTCAGAACATACTGAGGATGGAAAAATAAAACCTACTGTGATTAATTGTGGTACCCTTAAGGAAGGGAGAGTAACTTCTGCACCAGATATTTATTTATTCCCATCTGGCCTATTCAGTACAGCCAATAGTCAGGGATGATCGGGACGGCACTCCAGAAATATCCAGAGCGCTATATGTCCCAGAATTCTGCTGGCCTAAAGCTTCTGGTCACCAGAAGGCAGTTTTTAATTTGCCACAGGGAACTAGTTTACAGGCCTGGGACTGGAATAAGAATATAATCATCTATACAGTATATAATCTATAATTCCACAGTGCAACAGCTTCTTAGTTGTTGTTTTTTAACTCTGAGAAGCCTACTAACACCAGCTCCCTTCTAGCAAAATAAATCCAGATCTGTCTTTCCTATAAATATCAAAACAAGCAATCATGGATAATGGCTCAAGCCGGATGCGTGGAAAGGAGAGCAAAAAAAAAGGGGGGGCCAAAATAGAAAGATGCAGGGTTACAGTATATGCAATGGAAGAGGAACCGCTGGCGGAAAATATGTGAGGGCTGCTGCGTGAATGAAAAGTTGCAGATCTGGCAATAACGGTTGGAGGGTTACAAGAAGGGGATCCACGGGGTATTCCAACCGGAGGCCAGCTGGATGATGGAGCAACCAGATCTGCCGGTGGGCGAGGCGATGGGCACATGCAAGGACAGGAAGGAAATGCTAGAGAGAATGGGGAGGAGTAAAAAGAGACCTGAGGGTTTGAGACAAAGGAAAACTCGCCATCGGGATTTGAAATAAAATCGGATTACGACGATCCTGCTCCTTCATCCTTTTTTCCCCTTCAGGAAGCCCTTTTCTGTTCCTCATTAGCCCCGTGTAGCTCAGGAGCACCGATTCTTAAGAGAGAATGGGGTGTACTGGTGGGAGTTCTCTCCCTTCCCTCCCCCCGCCCCCACGGACAGGGCGCTGATCCTGGCACCCCGATGCAAGAGAAGGCAGGAGGAATCTCCACCATCACCAAAGGATGCCCAAGCCATTAATTACATTTCAAAAATTCCCTTGCAAATCCAGGACCCTCTGTAACCCCCACTGCATTGCGGGAGATGCGAGAAAACGGAGGGCACGCACCCCGGACCTTGCCTAAGTGACTCTTATCGCCGCGAGCACGCGCTTCCCCCCCCTTTTCCCAGGCCAGCTGTTCCCTCGGGTTCCTTCCAGATGTTTTTCTTAAAGCGACAGGCATCGGGTTACGGCTAACTCACCTGTGTGCTTTGATCCACTACCACCACCAACCTGGTGTTCCAGCTTTCCGGGGCTGCGAGTCCGTTCTTCTCCCCAACCAACCTCCTCCCCCCCTTTAAAAAAAAAGCTGGAAAACTACAAAGGGAAGGAGGAGGTGGGAAAGGGGTGCGAAAATCCCTTTTAAAAATTGGAGGCGGGACGATACGGAAGACCAATGGGAATGCCGGAAAGTACTAGTAGCAGGGGCGGATCGACCAATTAGACGGAAGAGATGGGGCGGGTGCAAGAGGGCAGCCAATGAGTGAGGCTCCGAGCGAGCGAGATTCCAATCCCTGTGTCCTCTAGTTCTAATTCCCTCAAGGCACTCTTCTTTTACCGCGCCTCCTCCCTATTTGATTGCAAATATCGTTAATAAGAAGCCTGACAAACAATGGAAACGGAGCCCGTTTGTCCAGTCAAGCCCATTATGGCCATCAAAGCAGGAGTTAAAACACAAACCTTTTCTCCCGTGTAGCACATGATCCAAAATAAGGGTTTTAATAAAACGGAAGTAATCCTGATAAACTCGAAACAAAAAAAATCAGAGTTAGTCAATGTTTTTAAGAAGACTAAGCAAAATGGATCAAACTCTGGAAGGTTATTTTAGCCCGTGTCAACACAACATCTGGTGACTTTTTGTTTGTTCCCTCTTTTGGAGCGCATAAAAACTTGAGTACTTTTGTGGCATTCTGATTGATCCTAAGAAAGGTACTCCACCTGTCTGGATGGCTCAGTGAGTTAGGCGTCTGGTTGTGGAGCCAGAGGTTCAGAGGTTGGGAGTTTGATTCCCCTCTGTGCCTCCTTTGAATAGAGCCAGCCTGTGTGGCCTCAGGCAACCTGCAAAGTCCCAGGATACCCCCAGAAGGGGACAGTAAATCACTTCTGAATACTCTCTCCTGAGAAACCCCTGAAAAGAGTGTCCATGAGTCAGAATTGACTCCACGATCAACTGTTATTAAGAAATGTATTATCCAACTCTTTTTTGTTTTATTTTTAAGGTTCCCATACATCTTTCAGAGCAACCACGATGGCTACATTGGTAATAAATCGACAGTAGCCTTGCTGTTCAAATATAGTTAGTGTGTTGGTAAGAGATGAATGTGGAACCAGATTTATTTTAAATTAAAGGTGAGAAATTTCAGGACCAAACCACAGGACGAAGCCTTTCAGAAACAGAAATGTAGCTTATTTTTAAAGTGGGTGAACAAACTAACATGAACATTTAAAAACTCTTCATATGCATTTAACATAGGAAATGAATCATTGCCAATTACCACTTGCCTCTAGATTTTACATACATTTCTGCATTAGATGTTTATATTGATACTGTATTATAGGCTTTGAAATCAGTGCCTTTGATAGCCTAGTACTGTCAGTTTGTCTTAAAACAATCCCTGGTCAGATTAATTGACTTGATGAAGGAATTTTAATAGCTTGAGATTTAATTCAGTGGGTGATAGAATTGTTCCCAGGGCACATGTATGAATTTATACAAGGAAAGTGACAAAATGAGACTCTAGAGACCAGGACTCAAATCCCCACTTCAGCCATGGGAGATCCCTGGGGGAATGGAACTGGTAAAACCACTCCTTAAATTTCTCACTTACCTTGAAAGCCCTATTAAGGTCGCTGTGGGTTAATTCCAACCTGCAACTAACTAACAGGAGGGCTATCCTATGAGATTACTCTTTGGCTGAGGTATTTTTATCTTCTGTGTAGCAATCCTGTCATTTCTTCCTGGAGGCTTGGCTCACTTGAAATCAGAGGCTAGTTCTTCTCTGCCACTGTGTTTAACCTATACTCATCCTTGACTTCACAGATCTTCCATTTAAAACAGTCCGTGGCATTCACGAGTCTTGCCAAAAATTAGACTCTGCAAGGGTGTTGTACAAACTTGGCCACTTTGATAACGTGAATTTTAAAAAAGGATATCAGTCATAGCTCCCACCCTACAAAGAAAGAGTAGGAACTGCAGTTTTGAGTCATGGGGTGAAAACTGGAAAGACAGAGAGGCTGGCTGTGATCCTTGAAATGTATCTTTTGGGGGAGATGGTTCTCTCTGCAGATCAGATGCAAGGCAGTGCATTTGCTATTGGAGCATTTAAACCCACGTCTGGAGAACATTTGACTTTCCAGGTGCTTCCAGGACTAAAATTCCTACAATCCATTACCATTGGTGATACTAGCCATGGTTCATGGGAGTAATATGCCAATATATCTAGAAACACAAAGACTATGCAATATGCCTGTTACCAGTGCTCAACCTCTATACAGTATTTCCAATTGCATTCAAACATTGCAGCTACGTATGTCCGTAAGCTTCCTGTTGTCTTTTCTTCCAAAGCAGATTAAGCCTGGGTAAGCACCCCTAGAAACTTTTAGTGCTAAGAGAAGTGGGGTGTTTGCAATAGTGCTGCTTGCTTTTCTTTGCATCATTCTTAAATATTACTCATCTGTGAGTCTGAACATCCTTTAACTTAGCCATACAAAAATCATGTTATGATGCTTTTGCACATTCCCACCACAGACCAAGCTTCCTGAAGCTAAAATATTCAAGGCACAGTTGCAATGTCACCTTTCTCAAAAGCTTCCTGAAGCTAAAATATTCAAGGCAGAGTTGCAATGTCACCTTTCTCAATATTTTCAGAGTTGTAGCCATGTTAGTCTGCATCTCTTTCAGACAGATCACTTACATGCATTTGTGAGGATATGGGTTTTGTAGTGTTTGTTTCCCAAGCCTTGCAGGTGTTTCGTCTCAACCACAGATCTAACTGTTCCTGTGAAGAAGAGTCAAGGCCATTTTTCAGGAGTGATAACCGTAACAGTCCTTGTTAATGGTGTACCAGTGTACCAACCTGGGAACGAAAGATGGGAGCTGTGGAAAGTTAAAAGTTGGGCGTGGAGTTGCGGACAAAGGACTGTATGCTGATTGGATATCATGATGGAGCAGAGACTAGATTATAGAAAAGGAGATTGGTTCTTTGGGTATGGAGCAGAGACTAGATTATAGAAAAGGACATTGGTTCTTTGTTCTTTGGGTGTCCTACTTGGTCAGGCTTGTGTGCAAGGTTCAAAGTACACAGCTAAAGAGTTTTAAGACTTAACTGAGTAAGTGGGAATCTAGAGACAGAAACTTGCCCATAGTTGCCCGCTCACGCACCTTCTAGATCACCCAGTCTGAAACAGGAAGGCGGATGTTGGGAACTAGTTTGGCTTCTTCCCCTAGTGCAATGACTTCTCTAAGGAGACATATTCCTGACAGCATTCACATCAAATTAAGCAGCAACTAAGTCCCTACAGGCAAGCCAGTGTAAAGGACAGGTGGCTAATTGTTGTTGCTGTTGTTTAGTCATTAAGTCCCACTCTTCATGACCCCTTGGACCAGAGCACCATCTGCAGTGATCATGGAGCCCAAGAAAGTAAAATCTGTCACTGCCTCCATATCTTCCCCTTCTATTTGCTAGGAGGTGATGAGACCAGTGGCCATGATCTTAGTTTTTTTTTAATGTTGAGCTTCAGACCATTTTTTGTGCTCTCCTCTTTCACCCTCATTAAGAGGTTCTTTAATTCCTCCTCACTTTCTGCCAGCAGAGTGGTATCATCTGCATATCTGAGGTTGTTGATATTTCTTCTGGCAATCTTAATTCTGGTTTGGGATTCATCCAGTCCAGCCTTTTGTATGATGTATTTTGCATATAAGTTAAATAAGTAGGGAGACAATATACAGCCTCGTCGTGCTCCTTTCCCAATGTTGAACCAATCAGGTGTTCCAGATCCAGTTCTAACTGTTGCTTCCTGTCCCACATATAGATTTCTCAGGAGATAGATAAGGTGGTCAGGCACTCCCATTTCTTTAAGAACTTGCCATACTTTGCTGTGGTCCACACAGTCAAAGGCTTTTGCGTAGTCAATGAAGCAGAAGTAGATGTTTTTCTGGAACTCTCTGGCTTTCTCCATAATCCAGTGCATGTTATCAATCTGGTCTCTAGTTCCTCTGCCCCTTCGAAATCCAGCTTGTACTTCTGGAAGTTCTCAGGCCACATACTGCTGAAGCCTACCTTGTAGGATTTTGAGCACAACCTTGATAGTGTGTGAAATGAGTACAACTATATGGTACAGGTAGTTGGAGCATTCTTTGGTCCTGCCTTTCTTTGGGATTGGGATGTAGACTGATCTTTTCCAATCCTCTGGCCACTGCTGAGTTTTCCAAACTTGCTGGCATATTGAGTGTAGCACCTCAACAACGTAATCTTTTAAGATTTTAAATAGTTCAACTGGAATGCCATCACTTCCACTGGACTTGTTGTTAGCCATCCTTTCTAAGGTCCACTTGACTTAATTTTCCAGGATGTCTGGCTGAAGGTCAACAACCACACTATCTGGGTTGTCTGGGACATCCAGATCTTTCTGGTATAATTCCTCTGTGTATTCTTGCCACGTCTTCTTGATGTCTTCTGCTTGTTAGGTTCCTACCATTTTTGTTCTTTATCATGTCCATCTTTGCACAAAATGTTCCTTTAATATCTGTTGGTTGAAACATAAGATCAAGATCACAGTTTGCATGGGTTTAGATTCTGACCCATGATCTGTATTTCAGATGCAGATAAACAATGATGCAAGTTCCTTTCTCTTCTCCAGCCTTCTCCAAGACACCCTAAAAGCTATCCCAAACAATGTGCTTCAAAGATGAAACAATGCCCCAAATCATGCCATTTGATTCAGATGTTATATGAAACCAGTTATCCCAAAACAGAATTTGAAAACCACCTTCAAACTATTCATTCTTGTGCAAATTTGGTAGCTTCTCACAAATCAGTTTGGGATTACATCTAAACCAGCCATTTGCAATGGGGCCATTTGGCCCTCTGGGGGCTCCTGACACATTTGAATAGAGGTGTTCTTCATACAGCACCTTATAAGGTTTGTTATGTGACTTATACAATTGTGATTTGGTCCATATTTCTTCCATATTGTTTTTATGGGTGTGGCCCAAAGAAGGTTGAGAATAAATGGTCTAAACCATCTCATGGCAAACAAATACCCACTGGCCAATCAGCATTACCTGTTGCATGTCCCTAAATGTTGAAATACAAGCATCTGTCCTTTGTACTTCACATTTATTGGATTAACACTAACATATCTGATACAAAAGTAACTGCCACATAATGTGAAAAGCTATAGGGCTTAACGCAATCTACATGGATCCTCTGAAAGTGCACCATTTTATCTGCAGAACACATGAAAAACCAGTTTCTCTTCTCTCCCTCTTGTTGATTGACTCTAATGTGAAAATTATAGATCCAGTGCCAAATATATATACATTTCACTCATACCTCACCATGCATTATGTCAGAACTGGAACATTAAAACAACCTGAGTTATTGGGGGTACAACTTGTTTTATTTCCTTCTCTTTTTCCTGCCTGTTTCTAAAAAAATACCATATATGTACAACAATGAGTTGGGGATTAAACCATTAAGGAACAGCCAGTTAAATCAGAGAGGTGAAAGACTTACTGTGAGGACAAAAGAAAGACACTTTCAGCTTGAGTGCACCAAATATGAGGAAGTCGTCGAAAATTACAGTACCTGCAGAACTCAATGAAGATTCTTCCCATCACTGCTGCTGTTGCTTTCCAAAATTATCTCTCTTCTGAAATATTAGACTAGTGTAATAAATAGCCTGTTTCCTTGGTGTGCTAACTCAGAAAGACTAGTTTACAAGCATCTTGCAATGTAGTACATGGTTAATCTAAAAGATTAGTGATCTAAAAGATTGAAAGACTACAGCAAACCTTTGACTTTCCAAATTATTTTGGACTAAAGGTCCCAGAAGATTTAACCACCATATCCAAGGCTAAGGAATTATAGGAACTATAGTCTAACAGTTCCCCACTGTTCATCTGAAGCAGGGCCACAGTGCAGTTGAGCACTGAAGTACCCACTGAGTCGCTGAGATTGTGTCTGTTGCAATACTGTACTCCTGTGAGACAGCCCCTCTGAAAGGTGATACAAAGCTGTTCCGTGCAGCAATGCTAGGGGAAGGGCCTTCTATGCTCCCTCCTTTTTGGGGTGGGAGGAAAATCAATTCATTTAACTGGTCTTTTTGCCCAGGTATGGAATGGGGGAAGGGGGAGAAGTCCTGCACAGGGCCTATAAGAAGAGGTAAATCAGTTCCATCTCTCCTCAAAAGAAGTAGAAAACCTCTTTTGGACTACAGCTGCAAGAATGCCCACAGTAAGCACGCCCAATGACAACCAAGAAACAAATAGGCTACACAAATTGTATTTGTGTGTACATATGCTGCCTTTTTCTCCATATGGCATCCAAGGTGGCTCACAACAATTAAAACAATATAATCAACACTTTTAAATAAAACACCATACAGTAAAAAGCATATTATAAAACAATTAAATGTTTGCTGATATTAAACCCAAGATTAAAAACCATTTTAAAACATTAAAAAAATCTCTAAATTTAATCATTATAGCATTAATATTGTTGTTTCATTTTATTTTAATATTGTTAGCCACCCAGACTTCGGTCTAAATGGGCGGGATATAAATTAATTCAGTAAATAAATTCATTCCTGAGACTCCCACTTGTTTAAAGGCCTGCCTGAAAAGAAAGGTCTGGCTGCTAATTTGGGCTGAGATTCAGGAGAAACTAAGACTCTCTGGAAAAAGCAATAAATAAGGCAAGGAAGTGTTAAAGGCAGCAGGAAAAGAGGAAAATCAAGTATGAGATGGATTGATTTAATAAAAGAAGCTATGACCTGGGGTTTGCAAAAGCTGATCAGACCTGCCTGCTAAATATATCATTTTGGAGGACCCCCGATCATACAATCACCATAAGTCAAGGCAACTTAACAGCACACCACACATTTCCACTCGCATTTTATGCCATGAAAAAATTCTCTTCTTCCTTTGATCTTATCACTTTCTGTTATTAGGTGGTTGCAGTTCCATTCCCACACAAAACAGATGCAAAAACACTACAGCCTCTCTACACTTTCTTTTCAGACTACAAATCCCAGGATCCTCCAAACAGACTCTGGAGCGCCCAGTTCATAAACAAGAACGTTTCTAGACTGTGGAAATAACAGTTTTCAGTCTTCTTAAATAAATCAACCACCCTCTCCTAGCCCAAATGCAACGGACATGCCCGCTTCCCACCACCAGCATCTCAAAATACAGGTTTCCCTCAAGAACAACAACGAGGCAGCGCGCAATCCCTGCCCTCCGCACACGGCAGCGAACACGTCGGATATGAACCCACATTGCCTCAGCCAGTCCTCGACCAATCGTTCCGACAGGATTTTCGTGACGTCAGTCGGCGTTCGGGTTGGAGGACGGCTCAAGTAATACAGTAGTTTGAATAGGTATTTCCCCCCCTCCCATTCCCTGGCCTAGGCTGATTGGTCGAATGCCTCGATCACCCGTGCGCGCCATTGGCTGTGGTCTTGGGATTTAAGCGATGGGCGGGTTTGTCCGGGAAAGAAGCGGGTGTTGGAGCTTCGGAGCGCGCGGTTGTCAGGTGAGTCTTCACGGTGGGCTTGGGAAAGACGAGAGCAGTGGTTCCCCAGATTGGACTATTCGGCTAAAGTGAGAAAGGTGCTTGGGGCTCTGACACCCTTCCCTGATGTCTGATTACGGTGATGGAAAATGTACTCTGCACCCACTTAAAGGAGTGCTTTCTTATCTTCACAGGCTGCCTGGCTGTCCTAATGACAGAAGGGGTAAAACCAAGTCCTCTCTGTTAGTGGTGTTCAAAGTCCACTACTTATCCTATTTGCATGTGTTTGGAATTTATGGCCTTGATATTATACAGTGGGAGAACGTGCAAAGAATGGCAGTTAATGTGATCCATAGTCTGGGGCTATCCCCGTTATGAATGCTGTATACAGTATATCCCATGGTATATGTTACGATGATACAGTGAGGAGAAACCTTTACTGGGTGTTTGCTTCCTGGTTCTTAGGCTCTAAACATGGCCCGGCAAGCTCTGTGGGCCTGGAGACCAGTTGTTTGCCCCCAAAATATCATCCCCCCAGATGAACCACCCAAAATGCTGAAAAGCACAAAAGATGGGATCTGAGGTGAATGGAAGAATGTTTCCAGGCTTGAAAAATATAGTATTCTTGATCTTAAATGGTATCCATGAGTGGGAGTTTATCTTTAAAAATTGCTAATTTAGATTCCTCAATAGATGGTGGGTAAGAAACACGGGCTTTTGCAGTAGGTTTTTAAGGAAATTATATTATGATCAAAAAAGATCCTCCTTTTGAATAGTGGGTTATTCACAGATTGTGGAGGGTTTCCCCCCCATAAGATTTAAAGGCCAGTGTCCTGCAGTTATTCAGATGATGTGGGATAGATCCAGGTTTTTGATCTTGGTGATCCATGGAGCTCATAGAGTAATCTAGGTGTGTAAAAAAAAATAACATTAATAATAATCACCACCACTGTGTGGTGTGATACACTACAATGTCACAAGCAAGGTGAGCTTTCATGTTTTCCAGAACCCTTTATCAGGGAAAGATAATGTAAAACTTGAGGTCTAGACTTAAAGTCCAAACATTAAGCCAGATGTTATGTCCTTGGTTTATGCTGTTGGAAAGTAAAATGGAGTTTTAGATTCTTGATGAGGCAAAGGTGGCTAAAGCATCCGTTTGCAATCTCTTCATCTCACTGAGAACAAAAAGCCTGGCTTGGCCCCTCCACAGACTCGTCAGTTGTCTTGGTGGAGGCCATAGACTTCCATAGTGAAGTTGGAGCAGAAAAACATGCAACTGGTGTTAGTCTTCAAATCAGCGAAACAGGAGAAAGAATTTAGGTATTGCAATGGATTAAAAAGTCAATTGCAGCCAAATTGATAGTTGTTGGAAGAGATGGAGTCCTCACTGGAGAACAGTCCTGTGGAAAAGCCTTGACTTTGAATCATTCATTTTGTCTTCACCTGACCTACTTGGTTAGAGTTGTTTTGAGGATGAAGTGGGGAAGAGAACAGCCATGTGAGCTCAAGTGACTCAGGGTCACTGGAAGGAATAATTTTTGATGTAAAAAAGCTTTTTAGGCTTCTTCTGCTTTATCTTTTGATGGAGGTTGCATTTCTGGATTTCTTAATTACTCTCATGTGCTCACCAATTACTTCACCTTGTAACAGTTTGAGCATTTCCTATTTGACAACTGCCCCTGTTTAGCAAAGAACCTGTGCTGCTTACGCTTGTGCCTTTTTGGGGGGAATTAAACCTGTTGTCATTACAATGCCCACGTGACTTGGTTTCTGTTTTCCTTGCAGGAGTGACAGCACACTCTAGGCTCTGGAACACGATATCCTCTTTCTCGGCCACCATGGGATTAGAAACAAAGCCACTTATGGTTCCCCACCCCTATTGGCCTCGAGATTTGGAGATCCCACACTACATCCCAAATGACCGTCCCATGTGGCAGATCTTGGCTTTTCTCTTTTCTGTGTCAGGGGTCCTTTTGATACTGACATGGCTAGCAGCAGGATGGCGGACCAGGACAATGGCTCCTCTGGGAACATGGCGCTCCTTGGCTGTCAGCTGGTTTGCTATCTGTGGCTTCATTCACGGTGTCATCGAAGGCTGGTTTAGCCTCTACCACACGGAAATCCCAGGGGACCAATCCTTTCTCTCCCAACTCTGTAAGATATTGCTGGAACTATAGGAGTGTGTGTGTGTATGTGTGAATATGAATGAATGCAGAACAGCTGAGTTCCATCTCCAGTCCTTAGTATGGATGATGCTACTGGTTATCTGAGGAAGATTGAGAAAGAGAGTGCTGTTTTCTGATAGGGGCAGTTCATTGGGTGTGTCTTTTGGGACGAAGTCCGCATCGTTGTGCAAGAGGAGGTAGAAAAGGAGAGAAGATGACACAAAAAATTTCTGTTGCAATATATTACTTTTCCATAAGATGTTATGAACTCACTATTATTTGGCTTCCAGAACAATCCTTGGCAATGCTGGGGCAGGTGTGTGTGCACAACCGCTAAAGGTAAAGGTTCCCCTTGACAATTTTTGTCCAGTCGTGTCCGACTCTAGGGGGCGGCGCTCATCCCGCTCTTCAAGCCATAGAGCCAGCGTTTGTTCGAAGACAATCTTTCCGTGGTCACATGGCCAGTGTGATTTAGACATGGAACGCTGTTTACCTTCCCACCGAGATGGTACCTATTTATCTACTCGCGTTTGCATGCTTTCGAACCGCTAGGTTGGCAGGAGCTGGGACAAGCAACGGGCGCTCACTCCGTCGCGTGGATTTGATCTTACGACTGCTTGGTCTTCTGACCCTGCAGCATAGGCTTCTGCGGTTTAGCCCGCAGCGCCACCACGTCCCACTCACATGAAAACAATGGACAGTGCTATAGCACAACCGCTATAGCACTGTCCATTGTTTTCATAAACCTGCATTAGGATGAGTGCATGTGAGGCTCTCTCTTTCTCCTGTCTTCCCTTAAAAAGGTACTGACTCTTTATGAGTAGAAGAGAGTCCCACTCACCGTCTCTGCTGTAGCCTTTTTTAAACATAGGAGTCGAGGATGTGCAAAGCTGCCAGCCTCTAGAAGGTCACATGTTCCCCACCCTTGCTATTGCCTGTTTGATGGGGAGGGAGGAAAGGTTATCTGTACAGCTCTGCAGTGTTTGCCTTGAGCATTGGGAAGTTTTGCTCTTCCAGCTGCCAGAATTCCTTCCTTTTAGCTATACCGACGGGACGTACAGTTGGCTTCTGCGGTTAGGTCCGGAAGATCCCCTGCTCTGAATTCCATGGTGTGCTAGTGCAGCTGCTTGTCTTGGCTCTGAACATTTTGCACAATGCAGGCATGCTGAGAGGAAAAGACTTGAATGGCTGAAGGTAGATGAAGAGCTGCAGTAAATAGAGGGATCCCATCTCTATCATAAATATTCAGTTATATAGTGAGAGAGGTATACTGCCTGAAATTAGGGGACTCAGAACAATACAGTCTTACACATATTTACACTGAAGTTGAGTTCCACTATCTTTGAGGCTCATGGGTTTGAAATCTTTATAGATGTACACCTGAAACAGCCTGCTGATAAATAGCTTGCTATGTTTTGTGGGATTGAAATGTGTCCATGCAGTCTTAAATTGACTTTGGCTACAATCCTGTGCTCATTCTTGGCAAGTAGGGCTCATGGGCCTCAGTGGGACTGAGTGTGTAGATACCCATAGTTTGGCACAGTTAACATTGAATCCTCTTAGTCATTTTCCGCTGGATGCTGCAGCTGGGGAGCTGAGACAGAGTGGCCCACTCCCTAAGCCAGGAGAATCTGCTATGTTGGCTTCTTCGTTTCTATAATGGTGGCTGTTGCACACAGATGTTTATAAAATCTGATGACAAATTGGTGCCTGTGTTTGTTTTCCTCCACCATCTGCATTCCCTTTTCCTTTTTAAATTGTGCTTGTCAGATTGCATATATGTGGGCATGGTCTGTTCTTATACTTTTATAAAGCCTGTAGAGCAGTGGTTCCCAGCCTTGGGTCACCCAGATGTTCTTGGACTGCAGCTCCCAGAATCCTTAGCCAGCACAGCAGGTGGCGAAGGCTTTGGGGAGTTTTAGTCCAAGAACACCTGGGGACCCAAGGTTGGGAACCACTGCTCTGTAAAATTGTGAAGAGATTTATAAAATAATAATATTAGAAGATTGATGATCAGATGTTGCTACGGTACAGAGGGTCTGTTTTGTGTTCTTGACTTATTTACTATATTGTTTTGACATCAGCAAACCCACACAGGTGACATTTTGCCCAAGTCAGTTGTCATGTACTGAATGTCCTGAAAAAGTTTTTATTCTTAACTGAAACAAGATTCTAACCTTTAGTTGTGGAGTTATTTGTGAAAATATGTAAACAATGTTTGAAGAGGGGTGCAGTGGTAGAGATAGAAGCTTCTAAGCCTTTCCTGCTTCCTTCTGCATGCCTTATGGCCCTTTCTCCTACAATGCATATACAGTGGTGCCTCGCATAGTGACGTTAATCGGTGCAGCAAAAATTACTGCAAAGCGATTTCGTCGCTATGCGATTTTAAAAAGCCCATAGGAATGCATTAAATGTGTTCCTATGGGCTTAAAACTCACCTTAAAGCGAAAATACTCCACACAGCGACCATTTTCGCTGCCCGGTAAGCAAGGAATCTGCGCGAAAACACAGTGGGTGGCCATTTTTTTTTAACCCGGTGGCCATTTTGGAACTGTCGATCAGCTGTTAGAAAATCATCGCTTTGCGATAATCGGTAAGCGAAACAGGGTACTGATCATCGCAAAGCAATTTTTCCCCATTTAAAACATCGCAGTGCGATCGCAAAAAGTTTGTCGGTGTGCGATTTCGTCGTAAAATGGGGCACCCGTTAAGCGAGGCACCACTGTACTTCTGCTTACTTTATCCGTACCAGTGGTTCCCAGCCATGGGTAACCCAGATGTTCTTGAACTGCAACTCCCAGAAACCACGGCCAGCACAGCTGGTGGTGGTGGCTTCTGGGAATTGTAGTCAAAGAACACCTGAGTTACCCACTCATCTATACTGTCCTCTGGTCACCATGCCTCTAGCTGTATAAGAATACATTGAACAAAATGCAGTATAATAACTTCTGGAGAGATATATGTTCAAACTCTTTCTTTGGTGCAGAATTAGGAATTTTTTTTAGTACGAGCATGACAGCACTATTAACAGCTTTACCAACAGATAATTTACTTTTTGTTGCAATTATGTGGGGAACACATATTGAGGAATGCACAGTTCATGTAGATGTTTGTATCACTTTGCTTATTAATATCCAATGTTTCACCTTTTTTCTCTGGCTTTTTTAATATTTTAGGGAAGGAGTATGCCAAAGGAGATAGCAGATATATCATGTAAGTATTGGGTAAGGCTAGTGACTTGGGTTTCGGCAGTGTCATTACCAATACGAAAAGATTTACTGTTGCAAAAATCAAAAACTAATTTGTGTTCAGTCAGAAAGGTCTAAAAAGAAACATAAGAACATACAGTAAATGTAGCGGATACTTTTGTAGGATCTGTAAGTTACTGAATTCCTAAAGCAATTCTCAGTAGGGCTTAATAAAATGCAGACTCTGTGAATTCACTGTGAGGATTACTTTCTTCAACAGAATCATAAAGCTTGCACAAGGACTTTAAGACCTTAACAATGTATGTAGGTGATAATTAGTTTTATATTTCAGAACCACTTTCAGTGTGCTCAATATATTTGCTAATGCTTTTGAAGTTTCTATTACGTCATTTTATAACAGTGCAGCCTGCGGCTCTGCTTGTGACATGTTTGTTTACTACAGTTCCACCCTACCCTTATTAAAATTGAACTATAGACAGTGTACATGACACTACTTTCTCATTTTATTCCGAAACCAACCCTGTGAGGTAGGTCAGGCTGAGAGTGTGACTGGCCTCAGGTCACTCTATTACCTGACAAGCTCTCAGAGCACATGTATAATCCGACACATGTTCTAAGGTATACATACCCACAAGGGATCTTTGAACCATGGGAAGAGTAGTTCTTCATACAGATTGGGCTGGGTGTATCACATTAACACAAAGCAATTTAACATGGGAATTAAAACATATACAACTGGCAGTTGCAGGGACAGTGCAAACAAAGAGGGATTTTAGCTTGGGGCAGCAAAGAGACAGGCTGAGTTATGTCAGGAAATTGGGCATGTTGCTGATAATAAATAGTGTTCATTATAAATAGTGTGGAGGGGTTTGCCTGGAGCCACCTTGATCATTCACAGTTAGTTTGATTATTATTTTACTGACATTAACTGCCTAGAGGATGAAAGGCACTGTTGCTTAGCAACTACATTACTAGCTTCCAGGGTGGTAGCTGTGTGTGTTCTGGTGCCAAAAAAAAACACAAAAAAACAAAAAAACCCCACAAAAAACCAGATTCTTTTGACACTTAAAATCTAGCAAATACTATTGAATATAATGAAAGCAAAATGTATGGCTTCATCAAGAATAGCGAACTGTTGTCTTGAGTTGTTGGGGGTGCATATGTGCCCTTGGCTCTTGATGGAGCAAAAACAGAGCACGGAAAAGTAATTTTTTTGGAACACAAAGCTCAGGATCCTCTGAGCATGATGGGTTGTCCTGGCAGGGGTTACTGGAAGTTGTAGTCCAAAAATAAATTTTCCGAGGTTTTGGCAAATTGTGTAAACATCATGTCTGGCGGGCAGTGAAAGACATTTGGGATTTGTTTCTGGGCCTGAAGTGATTTCCATTTCATGATTTTTTTTTCTCCCCAGAGGGGACAATTTCACAGTCTGCATGGAGACAATCACAGCCTTCGCCTGGGGACCCCTCAGTCTTTGGACTGTTGTGGCATTTCTTTCAGGCCAACCCCACCGCTTTGTCTTGCAGCTGGTGGTATCGCTGGGTAGGTACCCAAGACAAAGATGAGAACAAATCCTTCAATATTCTAACTTCTGGATTTTTTAACATATACAGTGGTGCCTCACTAGGCAGTTACCCTGCATGACAGTTTTTTCGCTAGACATTGACTTTTTGCGATCGCTATAGCGATTCGCAAAACAGTGATTCCTATGGGGAATTTCGCTGGACAATGTTTGGTCCCTGCTTCGCAAACTGATTTTCGTTAGACAACAATTTTGACAGCTCCCTCCGTGCTCGCAAATCAGGTGTTTTCGGGACCTAAACTTCACAAGACAGTGATTTAAACAGCTGATCAATGGTTTGCAAAGTGGCTTTCCTATGGATCTGTGCTAGACAATGACGATTCTTCCCCATTGGAACGCATTAAACAGGTTTCAATGCATTCCAATGGGGAAATGCTTTTTGCTAGACAATGATTTCGCTAAACAGCGATTTCAGTGGAATGGATTATCGTCTAGCGAGGCACCACTGTCAATGACTTCCCAGTGGATGGGGTCTGCTGTAGCAGAATACTTTAAGACACTGCAGATAGCCATATTTATTTCTGGTACTCAAACTCTATGTACTTTGATTTCCCGGTTCTGTCCCATATCAGGAGCCACTGTTTCCTTTCTTCATCTTTGCCAAATATCAGCCAAGCTGATTTTTAAAAACTGCTGTTCTTCCTCATATTTCTTGTTTCTTGCTCTCCTCTTTATTTCCTAGTATTGAAATCTGGTAGTAACAGCTAGGGTAAGCCTATTGAATCAGTAGCATTTACATATGGTAGTTACTGATTCAATTTGCCTACTCTAGTTACAGCTTAAAACTAGATTTCAGCCAATATCTTCTAGAATTTTTGCATACAAGGGGTAGGAAGGATGAATCACTTGTGATTCCTATTATTTATTTGTATTTATAATGTCCAGACTGTACCTGGGAGGTTACAGACAAGTATGAATGACAGATTGTGCTGTTTGTGTTAACCTCTTCTGTTCCATAACATCCAAAATGATTCTTGTTGGTGTTCATACACATGGATAGCAGAGCAAGAGCTTGCCTGCTGTGGGGCAGGAGAAATCGGGGGAGGCGATTATTCGAACACTTTTCTGGGTTTCCATCCTATAGAGCAGTGGTCCCCAACCTTGGGCCTCCAGATGTTCTTGGACTTCAACTCCCAGAAATCCTGGCCAGCAGAGGTGGTGGTGAAGGCTTATGGGAGTTGTAGTCCAAGAACATCTGGAGAACCCAAGGTTGGGGACCACTGCTATAGAGAACATAGTTGCTAACAGAGTTGGTTATATTCAGTAGGACTTAGAAGTAAAATGTGTATGATTACACTATTTTATTTATTAACATAGGGATTGACTACATAGTATGGCTGGTGCAGGCTAAACAGGGCCACTTAAGGTTGGGTATGCCATGTGATGCAATCTTTGCATTCACACTTATTTATTTAAACTTTTTAACCCGCCTTGCTCCTTAAAAAAGGGCCAAAGGCAGCTTACAATAATTAAAAGACAGTATTGTATAATAACAGTGAGTGTACAATATTACAAGGAGCAATGAATACAATATCAAAAAACCTAAGCAGCATCAAAACACATTCAATGTAGTAAGGTACGGTACTACAGTCCATTTTAAAAATCCCCCTCGACAGCCATTCACTCAGGGAAAGCTTGCCTGCTTGTGGAAGGTGAAGATCAGTCTAGACTCCTGTAGGAGGAAGTTCCAGAGTCTAGAAACAACAGCTGAAAAGTTCTCTTATCACAGGGGTACGGTGTAACGTAGCAGGCCACTCTGATGTCTCTGCCAACTCAGGCCTCTCAAAATGCCCACCACTCTACTTCACACTCGCTGTCACCAATTTAATGACTATTTAAGAAGGACAAAGGTTTCCTTCAAAACAAAACAGGTTTATTGAAATAACAAAATAAAATATGTAAATCACAATTAGCTAATCAAGATGTCAATCACTGTATCTTATTTAATCAATCGCAGACTTCCCTAACTGACCACTTAGGCACGCAGGCCTCTAAACAAGCTCTTTCTCTCTCACACTCCAGATCTGATCTCTCCCACTCTCTTCACACCTTTTCCTTCCAGCTCCTCCCTCTTCAGCCCCACCCTCCATCACCTCATTGGCTGATGATTCACTGCCCAGCTGTGACAGACAGGTGAGGTCAGGGCTGCCTGTTACATTACCTCCCCCCTTAATAAGTTGTTTCATGGGAGGAAAGCTAAAGTGCTTCCTTCTCATGAACACAGAGCACAACAATACATCATATCAATAAACAACAATATATCAAACAATTGCATAACCCTTAAATAAACCTCTTACCTGCATCATATTTTACACTTACATACTTTACCATTTCCACGGTTCCT